ATGTACTTGTTATTATCAACCTGACAACATTCTTGATGCATGATATGCATGGGAATTTCTTATTATAACTACTTATCCCCAAATACATTTTTATATTGTATTTATAAAAGTAATTAATCCATCTTCTTCTTTGGATGATTTGAAAATCTTATCCATTGATTTGTGTATTGATTTTTTACACATTTCTGTAATAGATTGGTTAGGAACTAGGAATGTAGTGTATTTGTAGTCTGTTTCTAGTTCAGAGTATCAATTTGAATATGTTCTGAACAGTGTATTCAAATAACTACAATGGGGAACTGTTTCAAAACTGAAACCACTGATGATATATCTCTGCTTAATGATGATGAAAATGAGGCAGAAGATGATGAATATCAAGTACAGCGATTTGATCCTCCTCCACCATATAGATCTAATGAGGTAAGATGCAATGATGCTGTCATTTTATCCCAAAACCAGTTTTTCTCATTTTATATGATTCTGTCTTACTTACTAGGTCGTTAGTGTATTCACTGTATTGCCAATCAAAGTTGCACTCGATTCCCATGCATGAAATATTTATGAAATTTAAAAAAATAGGACAAATTGTTGAAGAAATAGCATGAAAATAGGCAGTTCGATAATCACTAATAATTTTCTGCCATGAAACTGAAACGAATACCAGTACTTAATGCACTAAGAAAAGTGATCAAAAACCTGCAATTAAAATTTCATTATGCCAAGATTTCAAATCATCAACTATTACAAGTTAGACTCGTTAGGCAGATCAGTGCTCAGTAATTCCCCATTTGCTTATATTTGAATTATTTCACGAATTTTCTTGACTGCATTGATGATGCAAAAATTAGAGCATCTACATATCGCAAATTGGTATATGTTGTATATTTATGTTCGAGATTGCGATGAAGATTTGGATCTGAGTCACAACAATGGCTGTCGTGCCTTTGCATAATAGCCATTTGAACCACCCTTGGCTACTTCCCATGTGTCAGATAAATTGGTTCAATCCAATTCAACTTGTCCTCTGCATCAGTTTATGAATATATTGCTTATGCAATTACTGAATTCATTCTCATCGATGAGATGGAAGCTTGCTGCTTTTTATTTTAGCTTTTAATAGCTGATTACTTTAATCTGGACCGATTTTGCTGGTTATGAGCTTCATACAAACTCTGATTGGTGTGCCTCCCAGTTGAATATCAAGAAATATCCTGTTATTCCTGTATATTGAAGTTTAATGCCAATATAACATCTAGCAAAGGGATATTCTCATTAATCTGTCTACAAACCAGCACTTGTCATACTAGTAATCAAATAAGAAACCATCAGCTATTTTATAATAGAAAGTCTCTGAAATTTATATTATCTTTAATGATATACAATTTAGATGTATGTATATCTACGCTTGAGGGGAAACTAACAAATAGGACGATTCTCAACTCAACTCAATACTCTGAAAATGCATATAATTGTTTTTGAGAGCCCTGTTACAAATCAATTATTTCCCGCCATAATATATTCCTCAATGATTTTAAAACATGTTGTTTGATTCAGTTTATTTATAACATAAAAAAGTTGTGAGTAATCAACCAAAATGAGATGCGTAAAAATGGTTGTCTTGATTAGCAGTATTCGTATTAATTAATAATTCCCACACAAAGTTTGATGCTCATTTTAAATATTAAAAGTCAGGACATGTTCAGATAAAACCAGGCAGATGCCATATACTTTTTGCTCACATTTTTGTGCTTTGTGGACTGTGGCCAATGTAAATTATCTGAAGTTCTACAATTACAGTTGTACATTACAATAATCACCCAAGACCAGTGAATCCGAAGTTGTGTCTTTTTTGGACAAACTTGTGTAAATGGAATAAATATTGGGTAAGCAGATTATGCATGTGGATGAGCCATTTGTGATACAAAATTACTATTTGTTAAGCAAAAGCTCCCTCTTGTATTCAAAATTCATCAGTGTTAATGGTTTCCTATGGGAAACCGATGGTGACTGTACATTTGAACCCACGTACATTTGAACCCATGTGTATATCCGCGGGTTCAATCTACGAGGTGTGGCTAAAAAGAAACGAGACTGACGTCACAGATTGCGCAACACGATTAACCATTGGTAATCAACACTTTTACAGTGTGGTGTAATATGTGTTCTTTGTTCAACAGCTTTTTTGACACAATATCGCAATTATTTTTGCTCTTTAGGAGCCATAGGTGAATGTGATTAATTGCTTGTTGAAAAAAAAATTGCCGTGCGAGATCTGATTGAGTTTTTTGGCGATAGGGGGTTCAATTGCAGAATGACGATTGAGCAATGAATTAACATTAAATTTTGTGTCAAACTTGGAAAAAACGGCGACTGCGACTTTGAAGAAATTGTGTGATGTTTATGGAGATTCTTCCATGTCCAGAACAAGAGTTTTTGAATGGCACAAGCGATTTGTGGGATGCAGGGAGGATGTGGAGGATGATTCGAAGTCAGGAAGGCCTTGCACTTCCACAACTGATACCAACATCGAAAAGGTATCAGTTGTGAGTTCAGTTGTGAAAGGCAGTTGATTCGCAGCGACCGTCGCTCAACAATTCGCGTCATTGCGAAGTTGGAAAAGACAAAAAAAAAACGGTTCGCACCCAGTTTGGTTGACACTTTTGGCTTGTGAAAGGTGAGTGCCAAAATGGTGCCAAGGCTGTTGACTGAGGAGCAGAAAGCTCAACGATTAAATGTTGCCCAGTTGACATGCATTTTTCCAAGTTTGACACAAAATTTAATGTTAACTCTTTGCCCAATCGTCATCTGCAATTAAACCCCCTATCGCCAAAAAACTCAATCAGATCTCGCACAGCAATTTTTTTTTTCAACAAGCAATTAATCACATTCACCTACGACTCCTAAAAGAGCAAAAATAATGCGATATTGTGTCAAAAAAGCTGTTGAACAAAGAACACATATTACACCACACTGTAAAAGTGTTGATTACCAATGGTTAATCGTGTTGCGCAATCTGTGACGTCAGTCTCGTTTCTTTTTAGCCACACCTCGTATATGCGGGTGCTAAAACCCATGGGTTAGGTTAGTATGGGTTCAAATATCCGCAAAACAAAAAAATATTTCCATAGGTGCAATAGTATGCAGGTGCAATTGTCGTGGGTTCAAATGTACGGGAACCGAAACCGAGCATGCAACCTAAGTTGGTCATCTGTCACACAATTCACATGAACTAATACTGGAATAAATTTATGTTTTAAAAAAATTACATAATGCTACATTCGCGCAGTTAAGAGGGAACGATTTGTTAATAATCTGAGGTAAATTACCGCCAGCTACCGTATTTGTCGACATCATGAGTCTCATGACAGTTATATGGTTTCGCCTGAGATTGCCGAATTGCACATACAGTATATCCACGGGGCACGGCCTCACTCACTGCTCTTGTTAAGGCGACCACACCGATCAAGTTAGTAGACAAAGCGAAAATTGGACGAACAGATAATAATAAAATGACATCAATTATTCCGCGTATTTTTCTTCGATAAAATTACTCGCAAATGGTGCAAAACATGTCCAAACCTACATTGGGTCACCTTTGCAGCGACAACGTTGTTGATACTTTGACGTCACTGTTTTTCTCTCGTTTGTCAGCTGACTGGACAAAGAGGAAAAGGTCGTGTTTGTCTGGTATTAGCGTTCGTCGTGAGATCGAAGAACCGCTGTGTATGTAACAGCGAAGGGCGACTTGGACCGAGTCAGCAGTTTTAGTAATAATGGTTGGAGCCTGCCTATTAATCAATTTTCATGTTTTTGTTTGATCTCTGTTGCCTTAACATTGCATCCGGCAGTTAGCGCTTGAGCGGAAACGGTATTCTGGTTGCACTGTTATAGTTACTGAGTTGTGCTACTGTCTGCCATTAGTACGGTACTTGCATTCTATACCGGTACTAGCTCAGTACAGGTACCGGTATTGTTGTTGGGTCTAGACTGACAGGGTAGGCTTGTTAGTACAGTTGTAATGAATATAAGACAGGAGCATGCTACCCGAATTGCACTTACAGACTTGAGGCTAATGAGCCACATATATCAGTATAAATTTCCAGTTGTATGTATGTCAGTACCGGTATGTACAGAAACTGAGAAAACGTGAAATAACACGTAAGGCATAAGGGTAATCAAATCTTAGTAGTTTTTGTCAAGCAGAACTGTATGTCTGCTCAGTTTTACCTGTCAAATACTTTTTTGTTGTAGTTTTTGACTAGTCTTGAGATGTCATTGTATTCATGTACCTGCTAGTTGAAAAAGTTCAATTTATGATTTCATTATAGTTGTCTTACAGTCTCAATAGCCAAATTCTGATTTGTGTGTAGTGTAGGCTGTAAATTAGTGGTGTGTGATTCGAATCTTAGCATCTATAATATTACCAATACGACTCAGGAATTTACTGTGAATAAAAATAACTGAAACACTATTTCCATTATTAGGCAAATAGTCAATGAGTCTACGAATTTTGCTGTATTTTTTCAAGTTCTCTAACATGTAATTGGGATCATCAGTTTAAGAAAGACTGCATTCAAAGCTGTTATTGTAATGCTGTAATCTTGTTGGTCAGCAGTGCATTGAATTGATGAAGAATAGGCCCGTATCCTGCACTTAATAAAATGTAGGTTGCAACCCTTACCCCATCTGTGTGTGGTCCACGGTCATCAGCTGTTTAGAGACTGTATCTTGGAATCCTAACCCAAGTCGACATTTTAACTACAATTTCACACGCAAATTGAATAAGATATAACTTTTTATATTTATGCTTGGGGGAAGAAAGCCAATAATACTGCCCCAATTTCACCTTTCATCAATGGAATGCATTCATAATAACAGGATTTGAATTTTTCAAGACATCTTTTCTGTATGATGATTGAAAATACTTTCTTGCAATAAAAACAGTATCATGTATTTTGGATCTGTTATTGCTTGCGTTTCATAGCCCAGGACTCATTTATATTTCACAGACTTCTAAATATTTTATGACATAGTTTTTGCTCATTCCTAATAACTACATAATCCTGCAATGGGGAATCAGATGAGTGGTAGTGAAGGTGAAGAAGCAAATATTTCAGAAAGACATTCATCACATGTTGTTAATATTGATCAGTCACATAGTAGGCCAAAGCCAATTCCTAAGTCAAGGATACGATTGGTACCATTATCAGGAAGTCCTTCTACCTCAGCAGATAACGCACCCTTTTCATCTTTGTCAAATTCAAATGGTTCAAGAAATGCTGAATCAGTAAGTTTGTTTTCTACAGTTGTTTGTAATTTCTCTGTGAAAATATAATATAGCCTATTGTAGAATATATAATATTGCTTCTGAGCCATATTGCTATCAACTTTTTTAATGATGTCTATTTAACATTTTCTAATACGAAGAAAGATTATTTTTGCTACCGCTGATAATTTATAAATTGAAGTGTACAGCCAGAATTTGTATAGCTTTCAGAGCCAAGCTTTTAAGTTTGGACTACATCTAAGATTATGTTTATATTGGGTGTATATTAAATTATTTTAACCCTTTCCTAGCAGCTATTTTTTTTAAAAAACAATTTTATTAACTAATTATATATTCCTAATTAAATGTTCACTGACAAAAAAAACTAATTTACCTCTGTTGCCTGCTGAGGGCTTGGCTTGTTGGAAGGCTTGTACATTGTCATATGGAATATTTTTTTAATCACCCGGTTGCAAACCTGGTTTGCTTTAACATTAGTCAATAGTAGTATAGCGACGAATTGTGCTTTCTTTTTAAACAATTGCTGCAGTACTTAATTCTTGGACAATCAGATATCTTCAATTGTTCAAAATTGGTTCTGTTCTTGTGCTTAGGTTAACAGTCCTCTTAGATATAGGTACTCAGAAAATTGTAAAGGTATAAAATCTATAGGCCTACATGTGTCATCCCTTATTCAAATATGCCTGAAGAAAATTTGCGACTGTTGATGAAGTCAGCTCCTTTCTTCTTGGCCACGATATAGTGTTATATTTAGCATGTAACCCATTGCCAAATCAGCAAATATCCATTTTGGACGGCTTCTCAAGTTCATATTGGCATTGCCCGAAACATTTTCTTGCCTTGAAACCAGTCATTGATAATTAATCTGCTGTGAGCTCTTGGGAGGGTGAAAATACTTTTAAAAAACACACCAGATGCTGCATAATTGGCTCTATCTTGTCACACTTAAAATGTTTGTTCATCAATACCACAAACACGAGCATTGTATGAAAAAGCATTTGAAAGCGATTCCAGGAAGTAATCTGCAAGAAATATTCAACCCTGATTCCTGCGGTTGAATTTTTGTGTCCAAAATTCTTGAATTCCTGTTTGCGTGACCATGTTCAAAATAACTCCCTAGGCTAGAAGAAAGAATGGACATCTTTACTCAGATGACATGCCTACATATCAAGCTACACAATGTATGTAGGGTAGCCAACTTAGTGTTAAACCATTCCGGGACACTTGTCTAGAATTTGAAAATAGATGCAACAGAAGCTTGTGAAACACGAAAGCCATTAAAAGCAACAGTGCGCCCTGCCTGTCAAAGAGTGATGATAGTGCAGCGTTATTTCACAAACTCCAGGCCTCTGAATAACTTATTAAATAAAACTTGGGCAATGTTGAATGATTGTTATGTGATCAGGAAGTCACGGTTGACGAAACATGTCTTATCCACACTCACCACACGTTTCAACTCGCTTCTGTTCGAATGACCTATACAGATAAAATCGTTTTTATTTAAAAAAAATATTTGTGAATTACCGTACATCCCGTTTTGAACGAAGCCGACACGCTTACATGGCCTTCTATTTTAGATCGCCTTGGTTGTCAGTAAATTCCGGGACAACCGCAGCCCGACCGGGACGGTACCACTTGAAAATTACATTCTCTCAGATTATTAGTGGTTATGGTTTTCAAGTACATTGATTGAATCAATTGCAGAAAATAAATATGTTCATTTTGGAATCAAAGAGAATATTGGAGACATTTATCACGATAAGCTCCTAAAATTTTGATTTTTCAAGAATATCATGGTTGCATCCAGCTTTTGTCAAACTTTGTTTCTGATGAGAACTATGCTATATATCCTATTGCAACATCTTAACGGAGGTTGAAAGGAAATAAAAGTTTTTCTTCACTAACTTTAAAGATAAAGATGCATGTTTAAAGTCTATCTGCCTGCATGACAGAAAAAAACATTCAATATAATAAAAATTATTCCATCTACATGGAAATTTTTATTAATATATACCGGTAGGCGGTAGGTTATATTGTATATTGATAGACAATCATACTCATCTCAAAGTTGAAATTTCTGGACATATTCTTCATGAGGTAGTGTGCAGTTTCCAGTTTAAATACTTACCTGGGATGTGTATGGACTTCCATACGTGCATCTTGTCTTTATAAGTTACTTATTAGTTTCACTACATTCAGTATCTGTGATGTTTTGGGTTCACAAGTATATGTAATGATGTCATGATGTTTTATATATAACAAGATAAATTTGTTCAAAATTAGGGTAAGCTAATATGCTCAGCTAATTTTTTGTTAAACAGCCAATTGAAAGGTTGTTTGAATTGAATCAAAGTGGTTGATATTGGACATTCTGATATTAGTTCTTCACATTCAATAGGTTGGGTAGGCATACATACTCTGGCATGTCTGGATTACATATTCCAAATGTCATATCACTCATACAGACCTGCTCTAGATGTTATTAATCAAAAATTATATTTATATGCCATTTTGAAACTTTTAATAATTACAATCATCATCATTCCTAAAATATCTGCCACTATATTGTTGGTATGAGAATTAAGTAAAGTTTTAATAAATTAGTTCATCTTTTGGTTATCAAATTTTATTAATAACATATTGCCCAATTTTTCGCAGAGGGAATCAAATATGCCAGTATATCATCTTACCCCGAATCAACGTCGATCAGCCAATCAGCTTTCAGAAGAAGAACAAGTCAAAATTGCTCAAAGAATTGGCCTTATTCAACATTTACCCAGGAGTACTTGGGACAATTCACAGGTTGAAAATAAAAAAGTCAGAGAGTGAGTATACTTTAATTACTGAAAAGTCTATTTTATCATTTTGATAATTGTACACTACATTAGTAAATAATAAGTTTCACTCATCATGACTATACAGTTTTATATATGAAATAAAAAAAGATTTGCCACAAAACCTTATCCACAGAACCTTTTATAGGTATGAGAGTTCTGGTGAGGGTGTGATTTTGATTTGTTCATATAATTTTTACATTGAAAATGTTTTTCTTCCTCTTGTAAATTTATATTTTATGTCATGATCTGTAAAAAATTTCCCCCAACTTTTGAGTGGCAACTTTTCATGTATGTCTCGAGTCTTTCATGCATAATATCTGTGCTTTTAAAATATGGTTCTTCAAATCTGTGATTAGATTCTCATTCGTGCTCCTAGATGCTGCATCTGCATGATAGACTTTGAGGATGAAGAACCTATTCGATATCTACCATGTATGCACTATTATCATGTGAATTGTATTGATGATTGGCTCATGAGATCTTTTACTTGTCCTACATGTATGGAACCTGTTGATGCTGCTCTACTTTCAAGTTACGGAAATCATAATGTTACTACAGAAAGCTGATTTCCTTGCTATTCAAAACTATCGTGGACTATGAGAATTGCCACCGGCAGTATTACAATATTGCATTTATTTTTGTTTTCATGGTACATGATATTTGATATCGATGGCATGTTTGGCTGTATAATGACTGTGATGATGTGCCACTGCTGTTGAACGTTGGTGTGGTCGTATGTGCTGTTTGCAACAGACTTCAATATATATCAACCTAATTGAAGGAATGGTAAATTATTTGAAGCTCAATAAATATAATTACTGTGAATTGTTTGCCGAAGGGACTGGAAGCAATAGAAGCATTTCATAATGTGTTTTACTTTCGTTTATTGTTTTTAAAGTTTAAAAAATGGCGTTTTATCATTTTCCTGGGTTTGCTGCCGACTTATTCTACTTATTATATAGACAAGGTTGGACTCCATTATTTATTGACAATCATTACACAAATATTTTTATCGAAGTGTCAAAATATCGCTTCGTGGAACATCTGGTATTTGGCCTAACTTTTCTCTTCAGTGACACAGCAACGATTTCTCAGTCTCACATTCTCGAAACCTATGTTTACTTGGCTTATATTTATGCGATCTTGGAAATGTTTTTCTTATTTTTTATTGCTTGCTTAGTGCTGTCTTAGAGAAGTAGTTGATGGACGCCTTTGCTATTTGTAAATACTATATCATGCACTCAAAATACAGCACTTGTAGATTGCACTTTCAGCATGTAATTCGGCGTTTTAAATTACAATCTAACATATTGCTGTATATTTAAACATACTTGCGCCTTGGCAGGATTTCTGCTCATTTTTTTGCTGATAAGAGAGTCCAAGAAATGAAATTTTCTATTCGCGCTATGCTAAAATTTTCGATCATGAGCTGCTGTTTACAAGCCTAGATTCCAACATGTTTTTGTCATTTGTTGGTAATTAATGCAGAAAATAGGGCGCTCTCATAGTATGTGCCACAAGATGGCGGACACGCACCAGGTTAGGGTTGGACCATAATTTTATTCCAATTTTTCCTATTTTAGTTCTATTACGAGTTCGGGGACTAACCAAGTGACTCCCGTGGTATTTGTACATGAAATTATGGCCTAACCTGATACACCTACTACGGGAGTACCAAAATAAGTCGATGGAAATTATTCAAAATTTCGCTCGATCATTATTGTTTTGAACCTTGATTGACAGACTTGTATTTCTGTCGTACATGCCTGCGAATGAAATGTTTTGGATTTTTTTTCGCTTTTGAGTGTTCTCAAGCTGTTGTTGTAGATGGTAGCTTTTATTGATATGCTATTTGTATATGGTCCGCACCTGATTTTACTTGTAAAACTTGTCGACTATACCTTTCAAAAGAAGTCTTCAGTTTATGATGATGAATTTTTTTGAGCTTCTGACGAATCCAGTAGAAAGTGTGTTAGGATGTTTCATTCGCGTACCAGTTAACCATTTCAAGGCTCATATCTGTTTTTCCTGTGAGCACAGGCAATTACCGGTACCCTCAAAAAACTTTCGCCTTGCGGGGGATGTCGGAAAATCGCTACAAATAACTTATATCGAATTTCAGGAGATAATTCCCTCTTTTTTTAAATCAAAGAAAGACCTGAAACAAAATAAAATGATTGAAACAAGACATTTTTCATTCCGTAAAATGAATGAATGCTTAGAGCAGATAAAAATTTGCCCCTTTTTGACGAAAAGCCATAAAATTGTTAATTCAACTGAGTTAAAGCAAGAAATAACTCTTTCTCATCTAATTCATCTCTGGTAGATATATTTATAAATAAAACACATATTAACGTTTAAAAAAATTCCACCGTGCTGAAAGTAGGAAATTTTCCCCCAATTCAAGGAAAAAATCAACGAAATCGTCAAATTATCCGAGTTGAAGCGTGATCTGTGTAAATAATTTTTTCTCATCCAATACTCGTCAATACAGTATTTTTGTTAGACATATATATTAAACATATTGAGAATTCCAAAAATTCCACCGTACAAAAAGGGGGAATCCCCCCCCCCCCCAATTTATCGGAAAAATCGACGAAATTGTAGGAAAGTGGGGTCGCGTTAAGTTTCTGCGCACGCACCAATAATAATTCATTTTTATAGCTTGATCGTGTTACATCCGAACGAGTATTTGACTTTGGGTTTATCCTTTCATTCATGAGTACCTGCAGGCTATTGGTCCCAACCACTGGTCCGCAAATCGGAGTTTCGCCAGGCTGCCAGGAATTATATTAATCGTTATTTTGGACCAGTCCCCTGGTTATAGAATACACAAAGCAAAATTGCTTTATTCATCGACTGGCCTTAAATTATGTGTTTGACAAGTATGATAATGATTGTCGTACGGTGTCTTGGCCGAGTAATCAATCACACATTCAGGTTTGGATCAGTTGCGAAACTGGTTTGGTAATTCGCTCACGTGTATTATTAAAATCTACAAGTACGTGCTTTTGTCCACATCGCCTCCGCACGAAAGTGAACATTTTAGACTAGTATTTTAATATTATAGTATTCAAACATCTAAATAAACTTCTTAGAACAAAAATATGAATACTGTTGTATTTCATACATACTTTCGAACCGATGCAAACTGTCAAAAACAAGACCGAGACAAATTCTAGAAAAATAAAAGGATTTTAATAAGATGAGATTTCTTTCACGTTTTTCTATTTAACTTTCATGCTCTGTTTTGCTCTCTTTTGATGATGGAGTAATCTGTGAGATGTTTACATTGACCTAAAAATAAAAAAGACACTGCTGGAATATACAGAATAAAATTCAAATCTATGTATATTTAGAAGCAATCTTACTATTTCCCGAAGTATAGTATTGCTTTCTTACAATCTACCACGTATTATCTAGTCCATAGGTTCTCAAAGTGCTCCGTACGGAGCCCCAGGGCTCCGCGAGAGAAACCCATGGGCTCCGCGAGCTATTCGATTACTTTTCAAAATACTGACTAATTTTGTAATTATTCAAAGAAGAAATAACAGCTTTGATAAAATCTAACAACAATATAGCCTCGAAATATGGCAAAGAGGCGGAATTAAAAAATGAAATTATTTGTAAGCAGGAGCGCAGCCAGGATTCTTAAGAGGGAGGTGGTTCGAAATTAGAATCGGAAATTTCCGCGCAACATTCGCGATTAAAAAATGGATAACGAACGTTTCGGAATGAAAAAAGGTACATCGCCGATCGCGCGCACAATTGATTGCGTGCGGCTCCATGGCAGTTTCGAAATGGGAAAAAAAAGTACATCGCACGCACAATTGACGATTTCGCAGTTACTACGATGAAAATCCAACATAACAGCAAATTTTGTGATCTCCCATTTTAAGTTTTAGTTTTAATATTTTGGAATGCCGCTTTTCAATCAAGAAATTTGAGTTGCGGATCTACCTCTTCATTAATTATTATTTTAAGCAGTTCGTCGCCGATGACTATAAAATGGTAACATATTTTTCACATTGAACTCATAATTCCCCACAGAACAAAAAAGCAATTAACGTCGTCATTGTGTAACAATACATGTGCCGAGGAAAATTTTTGATTAAGGGAGAATAAACACCGGCGTAAAGATTGTAGATTCAAAAACACGCCACCGTGCTGAGAAAAAAATCGGCGATTGTAACAAAATGCAATTGCGCACATTATTAGCGGCCTTTTAAGTCTTCCAAAAATGTCAAAAGGGAAAAGATTCGACCCCCCTAATATATTAGTATGTTTGTCAAGTGTCAAATTTACAGCTTTAGTATATATAATTTATGTTTGAAATTTAGATATATTTATGACTTGTATTAACCCTATTAAAAAAGGTTCAGTATTTAAATTGAGTAAAGTACTTTTAACTTGCTCAAGAATATTAATCTGAAAGCAACAATTTTAAAATTTATTTTGGGGCTCCGTGAATAATAGACAACAATTTCGAGGGCTCCGCGACACCAAAAGTTTGAGAACCCCTGATCTAGTCTATGCTTTGCCTAAGAACCGTTTTTATTCTGATCTTAGAGATGTTTTATACCTTGATTTTCACGCGATGCCATGTGTTATCAAAATTTTCTCAGAATTCCCCGTTTTTTCGGCGCATTTTCGGGCAATGTTCACCGACCACATCCACTTACAGTCGATTAACAGGTACGTACATTGTTCCCATTTAGCTAATTAACTTGAATAAACTGGTTTTCTAGGTTGCCGAACTTTTCTGGTTGTGGGGTCGCGAATATCTGTAGCCTTTGATTTTATGAGAATTGGGCTTGCGCAAAAACCAATGGTATGGGAACCAACGGTATAACTAACACACCATATTGCAAACAGCATGGAAGAGTCATTTAGTTCAGAATTTACAGAAGAATTTAAAGCTGTTTTAATGGCAATTTAATTTACCACCCTCCAGAGCCAGGTCCGCCCGTCTATCTATATGTCAAAAAATTAGTAATTATTCTCCTATATATATATCTCAAATTTGGTTAATAGTTCGGTAATCAACCAATCTGCAGTTATTCTGTAAACATGAATTTGAAAAAAAGCTGACTAATTCAAACAGATTTTTGACTAAACATCGGAGGGAAAATACCACAATAATTTCTTGATATGTCTGTCTGCAAGTTGCGCGGTTACAATCTAAAACGGCATTTTCTCTTTATGGCACTTTCTCTGTTATGAAGTTTGAAATCATACACTAAATGTAGATACAGTAAGAAATTTGCACGTTTCAATGGGGTTTTTGTCGGCTTTTGCATGTTTTAGCTTGATAAATGACAATTAATGTTCAATGTATTTGGGCAATAAAAGTGTTGGTTTTGTATGGCACTGTTTACCTATTCTTGGCACTATTGTGACCTGCGAACAATACCAAAATAATAGTGTGGCCCCCCGAGGCCGACAATCTTGGACCAAATCAGCATATATTGGACCACCCTGGTGTAAATCGTTATAAAAACTATTGCTATTATTTTATTGCAATTATAATTCGTGTATGCCGAATGAGACAAGTTGTTCACAGTCAGTTGGATTCTGTACGAGGTAATTTTCCTCAAGAAGAAAAGCAGAGATGGTTCATAAAATACTAGTCTACGACATTATCTACCTAAGAAGACGAGAAGTACTAAGACTAAGAAGACGAGAGAAAATAATAATATGTTACGTATTAAATTAAACAGTAATACATTTTCCATACCCAATATTGGTCACAAAACCTTCCAATCAGTACAGAAAGTTCAATGAATGTAACCAGAAAGCACTCGAGAACAAAGATATCATTTTTCACATCTATTGACTCATATAAAATTTTCGCATTTAGTATTTTGATGTTATATCGCATCCTCGTCAACACATGACATGGAATTCATACTGATGTTTGAAAACAAGCTCTGGAGAACAAAGAAAAAACTTATTTTGCGAAACAATGGCGACATAACGTAATTACATACAGAATATATGTATGATTTTATTTTGAACTAATTGAGAAAAAATTCCCTACTTTCCGCACTATAAATTTTATATTCGATTTTAGTAAGTGTATAATAAATGTTTGTCAAAGATATTGTGTTTAAGAATTAAATGGTAAAATATTATTTCTTGCATTAATCGCATCTTAGCTTAGTCATAAAAACGATTTCATCGATTTTTTTGAAAATTTGAGAAGAGTTTTCTTTATTTTTCGCACGGTGAAAAATTTCTAAGATTTATTATGTGTTCCAATATGATTCTCCAAAATTCGGATTAAAGAATTGGACGAAAAAACATTTATTTTTATATCTTACATTTAATATTTCCTACATCACGTCTTAACGCAGTTGAATTGTTGATTTCGTCGATATATATTTCCGATAAATTGAGGGAAAAACTCTCTCTATTTTCTGTACAGTGAAATATTTTTAAATTTCAATATGTGGTTTATATCTGTCTATTAAAGATACAGTGTTGATGAATTTGATTAGAAAATAAAGATTCTTGCATTTATCATCTCTTAAACCTGTTCAAATAACTATTTCGTCAATTATTTTCGATAAACTTGGGGGAAATGCCCTATATTCCGCACTGTGAAATTTTTTTAAATTTCAATATGTGTTTCACGTAAGTCCACAAAAGATACGTTGTTGATGAATTTGATGAGAAAATTTTTTTTCTTACATAAATTACGCTTAACCTGGGTTAAATTGACGTTTTCGTCGATTTTCGCGATGAATCGGGGGGAAATTCCCTACTTTCCGCACGGTGGAATTTGTTCAAATTTTGATATGTGTTTTATATTTGTAAACCAAAGATACTGTGTTCATTAATTGTATGAGAAAAAAAGATTTCTTACATAATTTACGCTTTAACTCAGTTAAAGTGATGGATTTTTTCGATAAATTGGGGGGACATTCCCTACTTCCGCACGGTGGAATTATTTTAAATTTCAATATGTCTTTTATATATGTCCACCAAACATACTGTGTCGGTGAATTGAATGAGAAAAAATGATTTCTTACATAAATTACGCTTTACCCCAGTTAAATTGACGTTTTCGTCGATTTTTTCGATAAATTGTGGGGAAATTCCCTACTTTGCACACGGTGGAAATTTTTTAAATTTTGATATGTGTTTCACGTATGTCCACAACAGATACGGTGTTGATAAATTGGACGAGAAAAAATTATTCTATACATAAATTACCCTTAACCTGGGTTAAATTGACGTTTCCGTCGATTTTTGCGATAACTCGGGGGAAAATTCCCTACTTTCGCACGGTGAATTTTTTTAAATTTTAATGTGCGTTTTATATTTGTAAACTAAAGATAATGTCTCAATGAATTGGATGAGAAAAAATGATTTCTTACATAAATTACGCTTCAACTCAGTTAAACTGATGATTTCATCGATTTTTTCGATGAATTGGAGGGGAAATTCACCACTTTCCGCACGGTGGAATTTTTTGAAATTTTAATATGTGTTTTATATATGTCCACCAAATATACTGTGTCGGTGAATTGAGGGAGAAAAAATGATTTCTTTCATAAATCACGCTTTACCTCAGTTAAATTGACGTTTCGGTCGATTTTTTCGATAAATTGGGAGGAAATTCCCTACTTTCCACGTGGTGAAAATGTTTTGAATTTGGATATGTGTTTTGCGTATATCCACAAAAGATATGGTGTTGATGAATTGGATGAGAAAAAATAAATTATTTCTTACATAAATTACGCTTTAACTCAGTTAAACTGACGATTTCATCGATTTTTTCGCTAAAATGGGGGGAAATTCCCTACTTTCCGCACGGTGAAAATTTTTTGAATTTCGAAACACTGGGAAGAAGCATATCAATAAGAACAATATAATAACAAACCGATCCATATGTAAATTTCGTGTCCAAAAAGCACTGCACTATTACACAAATCTGCATGTTTCGTCAAAATAACTGCTTTGATAACGATGAATTTGAAATTTTTTTGCGGAAACTTGTCACAGCTGTCAAACGAATAAATTTAAATAACAAGCAGGGAGTCGGTGCTGATAATGGGTTTTTGAATGTGATTTACTACACGATTTCAAGTTCCGCTACCGGCTTCAGCTTTCGGAGCACCCGGGCATTTCTTACTCGCCATTGTGTCTACGAAAAGTACCAATAACAAAACGTCAAAATATTATAAAATTTTGCGGAAACTTATCACAACTATCAAACGAATGAATTTTAATAACAAGCAGGAAGTCGGTACTGATAATGGGTTCTTGAATGTGATTTACTAAACAATTTCGATACTTACAACTGTGTCTACGAAAAGTACCTAAAAACAAAATGTCAAAATATTGCGAGGCTTATATCACAACTGTCTAACGAATAAATTCTAATAACAAGCAGGAAGTCGGTGCTAATAATGGGTTATTGAATGTGATTTACTAAACGATTTTACCGTTCACTGCCGGCTTCAGCTTTTGGCGCCCCTGCTGTACTCACCATTGTTCTGGGAGAACTACCAAAAAACAAAATGTCAAAGTATAAAAAAAACATCCCTCTCTCAGAACAATAAAGGAATCGCAACATATTCACGAGTCAATACAGATTTTTCAGTTCAACAAATAAACTTTTACATCAAAATGATCCGCACGCATAGATTGAAACAGTTTATTTTGAGGAACTAGAACCACTGAAACGTCGCTTTTTTTCGGCATTTTGAATAAATTAACAACAGTACAGCTAACGGTAAATGTTACATTGATGTATCAAACATAGGACAATTATGACAAATCTGTGGTCTGTAATCTGTGGTTTAACGGCAAAACCAGAAGAAGTGAGAACATATTTCTAGAGCAATGGTTGCCAAACTTTATGTATATACTACGTGCCAAATATAAAAGTTCCAGATAGAGTGCGGGCCGAATCCATTTCTGCCACCAAACAATCGCTGCATTGAAGTTCAAATTATGACGCAATCGCAACTCCTACTACTGTGTTAAACGCCTGTCGCAATAAAACGTTTATGCTGCAGTGTTTATTTATTATTACAGACAAGACTTTGTGCTTTCGTCAAATCTGACGGAAAAATAATTGAAATCAGCACCTTTGTTTTTGAGTTACAATTCAAGATTTTTAGTGAATGGTTTCATTCGTTCACGGGCTGCATTTTCAACAAAGTATTTTTCGTACCGTACCCTCCGGTATCAATTTAAAAACGTTCTCAGAGTTTTGCGTTGCGTCGCAAACACCCGTCACGCTTGACGAATTGAAACCGTGTCCCATAAAAAATAAAAATGAAGCGAAATTTTGGATGAAATATCAGATCTCGTTGGATTCATAGAAAATTTTGGAATAAATTGAAGCAATAGCCTTCTAGCGGAAAATACAATCTTTAGCCACAAAAAGAAGAAGAAAAGAAATACTAGCAAGGAGATCAACAACAACAAAATAACACAACGATCCATAGATCAATCCGATAATAACAAGAAAGCGATTATCAAATATATATATGAGCACGAAATGGTCTGGGTATGCAATCTGTCACAGTGGCCTACCGGTATCGTATCGCACCTGAGCAGCTGATTCGAACTTATGCGAAAGAGAACCTTTTTAATTTTGACTTCGTCATCGCACAAAAAACGAATTCAATAGATGCCCCAAAATGTTTGAAATAAATATATCTTTTAGCGAAATATACAATTATACAATCTTAAACCACTGAAAATTTCGAAAAAATTGGTCGGGTGCAAATATACGTATATATATTTGCAAAGATATTGGAAGATATTGAAAATCCAGGTTTTTCAGTTCAACAAAGAAACTTTTACATGAAAATGATCCGCACGAATATCTTGGAGCAGTTGATGCTTTGAGGAAATGACATTAGAAAAAAAATATTTAACTCATTGGAAAACGTGCACTTTCTTTTTGGCATTTTGAATAATTTGACTACAATACAGCTAACTTTAGAAGTTAAATTGACGTATTAAGACTTAAGTAGTTAATAAAAAATGCGATTTTTCCATAACAATAAGAAGAAATATCTACAAGAACAACATAATAACAAAACGATTTGTATGTAAATTTCGTGTCTAAGAAGCACTGCAATATTACACAAATTTGCATGTTTTGACATAATAACTACTTTGCTAACGATGAATTTGAAAATTTCTTGCGGAAGTTTGTCACAACTGTCAAACGAATAAATTCTAATAACTACGCAGGAAGTCGGTGCTGATAATGGGTTATTGAATGTGATTTACTGCACGAATTCAACTTGCACTGCCGGCTTCAGCTTTTGGCGCCTCTGCCATATATATATATATATATGTTACTCACCATTGTGTCTCCGAAAAGTACCAAAAACAAAACGTTAAAACATTATAAAATATTACGGAAGCTTGTCACAACTGTCAAACGAATAAATTCTAATAACTTAGCAGGAAGTCGGTGCCGATAATGGGTTATTGAATGTGATTTACTGCACGAATTCAACTTCCACTGCCGGCTTCAGCTTTCGACGCCCCTGCTCTATGTTACTATGCTATGTCTACTGGGCAGGACGACGGGGCAGCTTGTTGAAATCGAGACTTACCCAGCTAAATCGGGACGTATGTTGAACCCCTTCGGGGGTAATAGATGTTCAACGAAACATTATGCGGAGTACAGATTAAATTATTGCGCAGTCGGGTTAGCGTTGTAATCTGGAATTTAAATCGATAATATTCCGATCATCATGGGAATTCCGATCATTCCCAATCTTGAAAGAATATTCATTGGAAGTAGCCCAACAGTCAAACTGTCTGAAATAACTGCGATATTTAAAAAGTAATTGTCGTAAATAGCTAAATCGCGCGTAACTCAGAATTCTAAATTATATTACTGTATACCTTTGAGCCGAATTGGGTTTTTTTGATGCGGAATTACTTCCTTTTAGTAGCTTGTCCAATAGTACTGGTAGAATTTAGTTTCGATGTATATTTCTATGATAGTAGGCATAGATTTATTAAAACTTTGGTAATTCCGTTGTATTGATTACTTGGCATAACACTTTTTAAATATTACCAGATTTTTTTTTATTTCATTGGGATTGTAGTTAATACAAAGGCTGCAGAAAATGAAGATCACACCTGTTGTGCTCCTTTATTGCTGCATAATAGCAAGTAAGTTGTATGTCAGGGGTCACCAACCTTTTCGAAGCCGAGGGCTACTTTTTGGGTACAGATTAAGCTGCGGGCTACCAGTTCAATGTACACTTCTAAAAAATCAGTTGCTCGATTAAGCTTCAATTATTGATATAATTACTGGTATTTAGTGAAGTATAGACACTAATAAACTTTAGAATTCTTCAGGAAATCAAACAATTATCACAACGTTGCAAATAAATTTCTATCAATAACACTTGTATTTCAAAACTGAGTGTTTTCAAATTGATTTTCAACACTCTGCACAAGTCTAAGATAAAATGTAATTAACAGTTGAACTATCAAATGTTGCAGAGTATTATACTCCGACGTGTAATTTGACACAGTAACTCTGAGCGAGTCTTGCAGATTTTCATCAGTGAGGCGTGTTCCATGTTTGTTCTTGGTGGAGTGAGTCGCGGCGCTATGGCCCATCGTGTCAAGCGTTAGGTTCGCATGTTAGAATCCCATGCGGGGATAGTTATGTGCGAAAGGATAGCTGGACTCCTCGCCGCCGTAGGGTGGTTCACGTAACCGCTGGTCGGTTAAGGCTACCTTCGCCATCAAGTCCAGGCTTCCGGAAACAAATAACTAACTAATCTAATACCCGACATCGAATGGTAACCAGCAAGAAGCCGTGGTTTGTCATATGGTTAAGCCGTCCTATCTTCTTCCCCGGGATAAATATGTAAATCTCCTCCTATCCTGAGTTTATGTCAAAAATGTTGATTCGAAAGGATAGGTTGAAACAAACGATGGTCTCGTAAAATAGGATTGCTGTATGATTTAAGTCGCGAGCTTTTTCTGTCCGTACCGTGCTGACCAGTTGTAGTTAGCGCGGAAGATTACGTGACAAGATGTGAAATATCTCTCCGCTTTGCCGTCGCTAAAATCGCCCCACTAATGAGACGCAGGCTGTTTTCATGGTGGTATAAATATATCCACCTCCCATTCATCGTGAAAATGATGGGTTTTTCTTTGGAATCAATAATTGTATTATAACTGCTCCGCTAACCAACGGACAAGAAAAAGCGCGGGTTCGTGGAAAGTGACCTCAATGTGATGTCATAATTGGAAGACTGTTAATTGACCCGTCACATTACTGAGGTCAAAGTAAAATAAGGTTGATGGTTACAATAATTAATATAGTGTCATTTCTAGTTTCAATATAAGTGTGATTTATACTAAAATAGCAGGACAAAATATAATTGATCTAGCTTACTTATAAGAGCCGTTATTAGGCTTAGTTTGGAACAGACTTGCGGGCGACTCATATGGTCTTCGCGGGCGACTTGGTGCCCGCGGGCAACGCGTTGGTGACCCCTGTTGTATGTCATATTATCTATTGAATTTCAGTTGGAACAAATCAAACCTTTTTTATTTGTTGTTTTGTTACTTTTTATGAAATGCAATATGAATAAAACATTTTAGATGCTCTACAGTTTGAAGAATTTGACTACAAGAAAGATTTTGATATAAATCTCGAGAAAGAATATCTTCGAAAATTTCTGGATGAAATAAATATTGAAGCGGAGATTGACACCGATTTAGCCGACGACGCAGACTTTGAACCAGACCTTTCTGAAGCCATATTCGAGGATGATTTTGAGCATGATTATGAAAAAAAACTGACGGTTCGTACAACATAATAAATAGCCACAAAAACAGCACCCCGAATTCATGACTATATTTTCCGAAAATACCACTTTGTGAAACTTTCTGTTACATAGAAGTGCTCCAAATTCTACGCAGAATTTCACGAAATTATGCGATTATTTGTCTGTTAGCCTTACTAAGCGGGAAAGCATAGAGTACATTTTAAGTAGTTTTCCTTTATTTCAAGCTTTGATTTTTAAAATAATAAGAAATATAATATATCTGAATTTAAAATTGTATTTTTTAATCACATTGGTTACACGTTTTTTTAGAAACGAAATATTGATTTTTGTGACGAGTTTAAGTTATGTGAGAAAGAGGGACATGGGTTCAAAACTGGATGTGCTGTGTTTCAGAAGAAATATGTGAACAGAAGAAATTCATTCCCCAATGTCTATAGTAAGTTTAAATTGAACATTGTTTGCGGGTTTTTGAAAATTATTAAAATTAACGTGATCCAATTTTTGTTTGTGACCACAATGATCGATGAAAAGTAAGAAGCGCGCTTCAGATATATTTATATCTGAACAGTACAGTTATATCCAAATGAGATATAATTAGGTCCACTGGACGAGGCAAATTGCGAACGGTCGGACCGAACACTATTATAGTAACATAAGTTTAATAAATAGTTTAACTTCAGCCCAATGAGATTATTTGTATATCCTCTATGTGTTTGTAATCATTCAAGTCTATAACCAGAAATATTCCTTTTCTTCCATAAATACCATCCAGTTATAATCAGTTCTCCTTGCTTTTCTTTTTGTTTTTGCTTCTTATCCGTCTTTTTTTCGTACTTGTTTTATTCAAATTTCAATTACCTTTCTACGTGCCAACGATGAGAAATATCTGAAAATCAAAACCAATACATGAAATTTATGGATGCTATTTATCGGTTATTAATTATTGTCGACGCTGTCACTGATGTATACCAGAGGTTTAAAATTTACAACTTTTTTGTACAGAGAAAAGAGCTGGAAGGTGGTGCGTCAATTGTCAAGAGAAATGCAAAGGGGGAAACATTGTAATTAAATTAGGTTAATTACTGATTGAAACAAATTTGGTAAAGAATTTACGTCAATGTTAGTAACTGGAAGAGAAAGAGAAAATAAAAATAGATTCGAACTATGTTTTTTTTTTAGTTTTAATTTTCACTCAAAAACTGATCTGTAAAACTGTGTGCTCGATTAAAATAAAAAAAATCCCATCTTATTCCATTGTTTTTTAAATTGCGTATATTGTATATCGAGAAGTGGAACTATAATACCTTTCATAAGTCAGTAATTAGCCATTTTTGGTCATTTGATCTACAAAGTCATTCATGTTTATTCAATTGATAATATTCTTTTTAGCAGTATGCTCCTAAATTAAGGATATTCGGAAAAACCGTTAAATGTCCCCAAAGGTCATTCCCTTGAATTTAATCATCTTTTGAAACTGTAGAAGAAGTAACGAAAGCCATGGTATTCCCACACTCAAAATATTACCTCTTCACAATGTATGAGTTTTTGCTGAACTTTCGTATCTTATAAAAAGTTTACGATTTAACATGTTAATATATAAACAAGAATAAATTTGTGATCATAGTAAGATTTGGAATGAATGCATTGATTGATTATATTTGCGCTAGGTGTGAGCTATACAGATGTAATCTGTGGTCAAACGACAAAACCAGAAGTGAGAAAGTATTTTGAGAGCAATGGCTGGCAAACAATTTGTTCTACCGGGCAAAATATAAACTTTTCAGATAGCGTGAGGACCGTATTTATTTCCGACACCAAACAAATTACGGCGCGATCACTAACTCCCATGGGCTTGTCCATGGGAAACGTCCCATGGGATGGGATGGGACACATTTATATTTCCCATAGGACACGTGAGACACGAAAACCGTTTGATTTTCGGGAAAAAGATGGTAAAACATTTCGTTATGGATTTCGTGTTCATATGTTTGAGCATAGCTCTCTTATTAGTTATAAAGAGCAAAATATATTCAGCATTAACAATATACCTCGTGAACACATGTATAATAGTTATGAATATAAACTTAACAAACTCCGAAAATTTTGTTGTTTCGCATTCGTATGTCTCTTCGTAAATGTAGTCCTATTTAGTAGACGCTAAACCTAAATTTACCAATTTTTATTGAATTTTATTCCAATGGGAATGCCATGGGATGGGATGGGGCAGGCATAAGTGCTACGGGATGGGATGGGAATGGGACAGAAAAATAATATGTCCCATGGACAAGCCTGACTGGCAGTGTTTTAAATATTATTACACAAGACTTTATTTTCATCTACATAGCATCAATGGGAAGGATTGTATTGTTTTTGCTTCTGTCTGATTCACAAAGCGTTAAATTGAACTGGTAACTTTGTTGAAGCTGACGATATCTGCAGTACGTCTTTCAAATGACGATCTGACAAGCAAGTACCGCATGCATCCCTGCTTTCATCATGTGTGAAGGGAAAATAATTGGAATCAGCACCTTTGTTTTAAGTTGCGATTTAAGATTTTCTGTAAATGGTTTCATTCGTTCGCGGGCCGCGTTTGCAACAAAATACTTTTCGTACGTACCCTCCGGTATCAATTGTAAAACGTGCTCGGAGCAGGGTTGCCAGATCCCAGTGAGGACAAAGCCAAATCAAGACAGAAATAAGGCAGAAAAAACAATTATAACAAGTACAAAAACCTCATGATTTGAAACTTCTAGCACATAGTGGATTTTCACAGTTCGCACTATGCTGATTTAGAGACATCAGTTGATTTGGGGAGCCACACCAAATGCTAAATATCACTAAAAATGGTAGTTTTGGTTGCTATCATGACGATTTTCATTTCAGCACGATCAAGGGTTTACAACTAAGAAGGAATATTGAATAGCAGAATTAGAATGTATATCCGACATAATATAGTTAAGCTGACATCTACATAAAAAATTCAAAGGATCAAAAAGCCAAAAAAATAACACTGTAACAAGCAAAACTATAAAAACGAAGTCTGCTTGAACATATGTCTGGACGGCTGCAAAAACTGCAATTGTTATTTCATTCTAAGCGATTCGATAGTCTTGCTGCACACTAACACAAATGTATTTCTGTAACGTTTCGCCGGACCAAGGTCAGCCTTCCTCAGACATACATAATACAACCCAATCGATAGCACATGTTATGTCATTGTTGGCTTATTTTTATTTGATTGGTTGTGGTTAACAGAAAATCTGAATGTTGAGTAGCTGAGCTGCGCACTAAATACCGGTATTGTATTTTAAATGATTTTAATAATAAACAGTAGAATGGACATAAAAAAAAGAAAAAGCCAAAAAGCCAAACGGAAATTCTGACGCCAAACGTGTTTCAAAAACACTAAAATCGTGAAATTTGGCGTTAAAAAAGCCTATATGGCAATCCTGACTAGGAGTTTCGCGTAGCGTCGCAAACGGCTGTCACGCTTGACGAATTGAAACCGTGTTGCCATGAAAAATAAAAATGTAGCGGAATTTTTGATGAAATATCAGATCTCGTAGGTTTCATAGAAATTTAGGAATAAATTAAAGCAATAGCCTTCTAGCGAACATACAATCTTTAATCACAGAAAATTGCAAAGCAATTGATCCAGCAGTTAATGAGAAAAGCAATCCTTTTCACAACAATAAGTAGAATTAAAGAAATACTAGCAAGGAGATCAACAACAACAAAATAACACAACGATGCATAGGTCAATTCGTATCTAATAATAACAAGAGAGCGATTATCAAATATATATATGAGAACGAAATGGTCTGGGTATGCAATCTGTCAGTGGCCTTCCGGTACCGTATCGCATCTGAGCAGCATATTTGAACTTTTGCGAAAGCGGAACCGCACAAAAAAACGAATTCAATAGAGGCCCCGAAAATGTTTGAAAAATAAGAAATAATGATATTTTAGCGAAATATACAATAATACAATCCTAAACCTCTGAAATTTCAAAGCAATTGATCGGGCCAAATATACGTAGATGCAATGATATTGGAACCTCATCCTGGAGTTATTCGACCATTTGATATCTATTGATGGTAGTCACTGTATGGCAAGGGTGTATAGTTAACGAGAACACACTTTTGTATCTGATACAGCCAGGGTCAAGTTAGAGTTGCACTCAAAAGCTTTCATGATTTAGAGGGAGAATGTACAATCGGTACCCTATATATATATATACTGTTCTGATAATAAACCCATTTTGCAGAAATTTTTTCCCAGCAAAATTTCCTTCGCTCAAATCAACGTTTTCTAATCGGGGAGGAATTCCTCAACATGGAGGAATTTTGTCGTTCTTGGGAAGGGTTTTTTTAAATTTGCTGTAGTAGTACCTATATTTTACATTTCTTTAATATTGCTATAATACTTAATTGAGCACACATTATAAACTACCAAAATACCAGTTTTTTCAGTTCAACATGGAAACTTTTACATCAAAATGATTCGCACGCATAGATTGGAGCAGTTGATGTTTTGAGGAATTGACATTGAAGAAAAAGTTCATCCAGGCTTAACATTTATATATATATATAAAACAAAAAACCAGGACAATCCGACTTGGACAATTTTGGTTCAATTCGCAGGCTTAGTAGTATTTAACTCATTGGAAAACGTCCACTTTCTTTTTGGCATTTCGAATAATTTGACCACAGTACAGCTAACGTAAGATATTAAATTGACTTATTAAGTAGTTGATAAAAAATGCGAATTTTTCATAACAACAACAAGAAATATCAACAAGAACAACAAAATAACAAAATGATCCATATGTAAATTTCGTGTCCAAAATGCACTGCACTATTACACAAATTTGCATGTTTCGTCACGATAACTACTTTGCGAACAATGAATTTGAAAATTTCTCGCGGAAACTTGTCACAACTGTCAAACGAATAAATTCTAATAACAAGCAGGAAGTCGGTGCTGATAATGGGTTATGGAAATTGTTTCATACACGATTTCGAGCTCCGCTGCCGGCTTCAGCTTTTCGCGCCTCTGCCATATGTTACTCATCATTGTGTCTACGAAAAGTACCAAAAACATAACGTCAAAATATTGTGGAAGCTCATATCACAACAGACAAACGAATAAATTCTAATAACAGCCAGGAAGTCGGTGCTGATAATGGGTTATTGAATGTGATTTACTGAACCATTTCAACTTCCACTGCCTGCTTCAGCTTTTGGCGCCCCTGCCATACTCACCATTGTCTCTGGGAAAAGTACCAAAAAACAGAATGTCAAAATAAAATAAAAAAAACTCTCTCTGAACAATAAAGATAGCACTACATATTCACGGGTCAATCCCTGTCTTTTAGTTCAACAAAGATACTTTTAGATCATGATGATCCGCACGAATATACTAAAACAGGTAATGTTTTAAGGAAATGACATTAAAGAAAAAGTACCAGGCCATATATATATATATATATGAAACAAAAATCGGGACAGTGCGTATCAAACAAATCTTGGTTCGATTCGTAGGCTTAGTGATACTAGAACATCACTGGAAACGTGCACTTTCTTTTCGGCATTTTGAATAAGTTAACGACAGTAAAGCTAACGTTAGATGTTAAATTGATGTATCAAACATACAACGAGTATGGAATCAGAGAGATAAATGGACTGGTTTCCTTGCCATAAAAGTATTTGTATTGATATTAAACAACAACAAAAACATTTATGACTTCCATACTGTGGGGCCATAGGTCCACCGGGTGTGACGGCGGGACAGCTCGGGTCAGAGTTGTAACCTGGAATATAAATCAAAAATATGAGTTCGGACCATTCCTAATCTTGAAAAATTATTCATTGGAAGTAGCCCAACAATCAAAATATCTGAAATAACTGCCTTATTTGAAAAATATTTGTTGTAATATCTTGCTCAATCCCACGTAACTCTGAATTCTGAACTATATTACTGTACTGTACTTATAACTTTAGGCCGAATTCGTTATTTTTGATGCGGATGTAGCTCTTTTTGGTAGCTTATCAAATAGCACTGGTAGAGTTTAGTTTCGATATATATTTCTATGCTAGTGGTGATTGATTTATTGAAACTTTGGTAAGTCCGTTGTATTGATTACTTCGCATTACACTTTTTAAATGTTTACAGTTATTTTTCTATTTCACCAGGTTACTAGGTAATACAAAAGTTGCAGAAAATAAATTACAAAATGAAGATCACACCTGTTGTTCTCCTTTGTTGCTGCATAATAGCAAGTAAGTTGTATGTCATATTTTCTATTGAATATCAATTGAAACAAATCGAACTTTTTTAACGTTAATTGTTGTTTTGTTACCTTTTTTAATGAAATGCAACATGAATAAAACATTTCAGAAGCTCTACAGTTTGAAGAATTTGACTACAAGAAAGATTTTGATAAAAATCTCGAAAAAGAATATCTTCCAAATTTTCTGGATGAAAAAAGTATTGAAGCGGAGATTGACACCCAATTCGACGACGATGAAGACTTTGAACCAGACCTTGAAAGAAATTTTGAAGCAATATTCGAGGATGCTTTTGAGCATGATTATGAAAAAGATTTGACGGTTTGTACAACATGATAAATAGCCACCAAGACAGCACTTACAATACATGCCCTTATTTTTCGAAAATATCAATTCGCTGTTGCATAGAAGTGCCCTAAATTCTACGCAAAATTTCATGGAATTATGCAGTTATTGGTCTGATAGCCTTACTAAGCGTGATAAGGGTACATTTTAAATGGTCAATGGTCGCCTTTTTTCGTGATCAATTTTTATACTTAGCTTTGACTGGGCTTTCTTGCACTTTTGCATCTAAATTTATTTTGCTTTCCAATATTTAAAAAAGCAAGTCTACACCAAAACTCCACAAAACAGAACGTTTGGTAGCGACCACGATAGCAGATTTAAATAAAATGGAGAGTGTGCTTTTGCGACTTTTCCTGTCTTGTTTTCTTTTATTTCAAACATAGTTTTTCAAAGTAATAATGAATATAATATATCTGAATTTAAAATTGTATTTTTTAATCACATTGGTCACACGTTTTTTTAGGAACAGAATCTTGCTTTTTGTCGCGAGTTCAAGTTATGTAAGAGAGACGGGGATGGGTTCAAAATTGGATGTGCTGGGTTTAAGAATAATTATAAGCACAGAAAAACATCATTCCCTGGTGTCTGGAGTAAGTTTGAGTACAAATTTCAATTAAACATCGTCTTTAGGTTATTGAGAATTATTGAAATTAGCGAGATCCAATTTTCGCTTGCAACCACATTTATCGATGAAAAGTAAGGAGTGTGCTTTAGATATATCGTTGAACAGTACAGTTATATCCAAATAATATAATTAGGTCTACTGGACGAGCCAAATTGCGAACGGTCAGATTGAATACTATTATAGTAACACAAGTTTAATAAATGGCAACAGTTCAGCCCAATAACATTGTCTGTATATCCTCTATGTGTTTGTACTCATTCAAGTCCATAACCGGAAAGATTCCTTTTCTTGAATAAATAGCATCCAGCTATAGTCAGTTTCTCGCTGTCTTGATTGCAATGAAGGTGCTAAACGCCTCATAATAAATTAGCTCAGATTAAAACAACTATAAATATTCCAGATTGTTGAAAATTGAGTTTTCAACTTTTTCGTCACTTTTCGAAATATTGAACAAATTAAAATTTAATCCAATCCCAGGCTCTTTTAATCAACTCAATCGCAAATGCTAATATTTCGTATTGCTTCTCATTCTTTTTTTTTTATTTGTTTCATTCAAAGATCCAATACGTTTCTACGTCCCAACGACGAGAAATATCTGAAAATCAAAACCAATACTTGAAATTTATAGATGCTATTTATCGGTTATTAATTATTTTCGACGCGGTGGTCCCTGATGTATACCAGAGGTTTAAAATTTACAACCTTTTTGTACAGAGAATAGAGCTGGAACGTTTTGCGTCAATTGTCAAGAGAAATGCGGAGGAACAAGAGGCTCAAGTAAATTAGGTTAATTACTGATTGAAACAAATTTGGTAACGAATTTACGTCAATGTTTGTAACCGGAAGAGGAAGAGAAAATAAGAATGGATTTAAATTATGTTTTTTTTTCAAGTTTTCATTTCCATCCTAAAACTGATCATGGAAATTGTGTGCTCGAATTAAATAAAATAATTTCTTCCCATATTGAAAATAACTCATGCTGAATTAATTTACCAGCAACGTGTAATCGAGATTCTGCTTATTCGCCAACAATATATGTTTCAAAACATTATTTGAATAACTAGAAGTATTTTCACTACTCTTGCGTGTTTGAAAACTTTAGAAAGGGGATTATTGACTATTCATCACATCTTATTCCATTTTTTTTAATTGCGTATATTGTATATCGACAGGTGGAACTATAATAAGTCAGTAATTAGTAAATTTTTGTTAATGACTATTTACTTATTCAAACTTCTGAATAACGCATTCATTTAATCTACAAAGGCATTGATGTTTATTCAACTTCTCTTTTTAGCAGTAAGCTAATAGACTTAAATTAAGGTAATTTAGAAGAACCGTTGTAATGACCCCAAAAGTCATTCCATCCAATTTAATCATCTTTTGAAGCAGTAGAAGAAGTAGCAAATGCGATGGTATTCCAATACTAAAAATATTAACTCTTCACAATCTATAAGTTTTCTGCTGAACTTTCGTTTTCTTCTAAACTCATAAAAAATTTACGATTTAACATGTTAATATATAAACAAGAATAAATTTGTGTTCATAGTAAGATTTGAAATGAATGCATCGATTGATTATATCTGCTCTAGGTGTGAGATATACTGACGTAATCTGTTGTCTAACGGCAAACCAGAAGTGAGAAAAATTTTCTAGAGCAATGGTTGGCAAACATTATGTACTACGTGCCAAATATAAAAGTTCCAGATAGAGTGCGGGCCGAATCCATTTCTGCCACCAAACAATCAATGCATTGAAGTTCAAATTCTGGCGCAATCGCAACTCCTACTACCATATTAAATGCATGCCGCAATAAAACCTGTATGTGGCCGTGTTTCATTTATTATTACATACAAGACTTGGTGTTTTTGTCAAATCTGAGGGGGAAATAATTGAAATCAGTACCTTTGTTTTTGAGTTATAATTTAAGATTTTCAGTAAATGGTTTCATTCGTTCGCGGGCCGCATTTGCAAGAAAGTACTTTTCGAATCTGATTCTATTTAATATAACATCATAACCCTTAGATTTGAAAGAACTGTAGCATAAAGTGGGATTAAATAACAAAAATAAACTTGAAGAATGAGTGAAATTAGTAGAAGAAAACATTAAATTGATGCTTCAACTACATAGTATATTAGAGAATATGTATTATTGCTATATATATATAGAGAGTTACACTCAGTTATATTTATTTATTACATTAATTTATGTTCGCAAACAATACCGGATGTATAGTGATGTTTTTTTTAAAAATTCATCTAAATGATAAACGTCAGTGAAATATGCGTTAGTACCGCTTGCGCCGTGATTTTAAAGAAAGCAAATTATAACGAGGGAAGCATCGCAGACTTATGTTTTAATGAGAAATATTGTTGTTATAATGACATTATATAACTTAAGTAATTTAAAGACATGTTCATATAATAACATATTTGTAGAACTTCTTAACATTTTGAATAGTCTAAAAAAAATTTAACGAAACCGTGGGTTCTGAGGCGGTGACCCGTATGAAATATAACAACCCCCGGAGTGTTACGACTTGGGAACGCTGTAAGCGTAGGGAAAATGAACGTTTTTGTTCGATGGTAAGACAACGTTGCTGCGTCGTGCAATCGCCTCGTGTTATCTAAATTAATATTTTTTTCAAATAGAATAAAGCCATTTTTTCTCAAATTACTTCGAATCGATGTTAATTCGAATCGCTTCGATTCGAAATTCTGAAACTTACATCCCTAGTCGTAAACAGACGTCACGCTTGACAAATTGAAACCGTGTTCCCATGAAAAATGAAAATTTAGCGAAATTTTGGATGGAATATAAGATCTCGTAGGATTCATAGAAAGTTTAGAAATAAATTAAAGCAATAGAAAAAAATACAATCTTTAGTCACTAAAAATAGCAAAGCAATTGGTCCAGTAGTTGATGAGAAAAACAATTTTTTTTCACAAGAAGAAAAAAAAAATATGAACAAAGAGATCAACGACAACAAAATAACATAACGATCCAAGGTCAATTCGTATCCAATAATAACGAAAAAGCGATGACCAAATATATGGGCACGAAATGGTCTGTGTACGCATCTGTCAGTGGCTTACCGGCATCGTATCAAATCTTAGCAGCAGATTTGAACTTATGCGAAAGCCGAACCGCACAAAAAAAAAAATTTAAAAGAGGCCCCAAAAATGTTTTAAAAAAAAATAATAATGATTTTTCAGCGAAAGATACAATTATACAATCTTAAACCACTGAAAATTTCAAAACAATTGGTCGGGTGCAAATATACATAGGTGCAATGATATTGGAACCTCATTCTTCGATCATTTAATATCTACTGACGGTAGTCACTGTATCGGAAGGGTGTATAGTTAACGAGAACACACGGTTGTACCGGATACAGCCAGGGTCAAGTTACAGTTGCACCCAAAAGAATTTATGGTACAATCGGTACCTTTTATATACTGTATTCTGATGATAAACCCACTTTGCACAAAATTTGTTCCAGCAAAATTTTCTTCGCTCAAAGCAACGTTTTGCAATCGGGGAGAAATTCGTAAACAGGGAGGAATTTTGACGTTCTTGGAGAGTGTTTTTGTTTTTGCTGTAGTAGTACCTATATTTTTCATTTCTTTAATATTGCTATAATACTTATTTAATCACACATTACACGAAATTTTTACACCAAAATGATTCGCCCGCATAGCTTGGAACAGTTGATGTTTTGAGGAAATGACATTAAAGTAAAAGTTCATCCAGGCTTACCATATATATAAAAACAAACAAAAAAACGGGACAGTCCGTATTGAACAAATCTTGGTTTGATTCTGAGGCTTAGTAATATTCAACTCATTGAAAAACTTCCATTTTTTGGGGGGCGTTTTGAATAATTTGACGACAGTACAGCTAACATTAGATGCTAAATTGATTCATTAAGTAGTTAATAAGAAAAAAGATTTTTTCATATCAATGGGAAGAAATACCAACAAGAACAACATTTACAAAACGATCCATATGTAAATTTCGTTTCTAAGAAGCACTGCACTATTACACAAATTTGCATGTTTTGTCATAATAACTACTTTGCTAACGATGAATTTGACATTTTCTAGCGGTGGCTTGTCACAACTGTCAAACGAATAAATTCTAATAACTACCCAGGAAGTCGATGCCGATAATGGGTTATTGAATGTGATTTACTACACGAATTCAACTTCCACCGCCAGCTTCAGCTTTTGGCGGTCTGCCATATAACTGTTACTCACCATTGTGTCTACGAAAAGTATCGAAGTTTCAAAATATTATAACATTTTGCGGAAGCTTGTTACTACTGTCAAACGAATAAATTCTAATAACAAGCAGGAAGTCGGTGCTGATAATGGGTTATTGAATGTGATTTACTACACGATTTCGACTTCTACTGCCGGCTTCAACCTCTCCCTCTCTCTCTAAACAATATAGATATATATCGCAACATAGTCACGAGTCAGTCCAGGTTTTTCAGTTCAACAAAGAAACTTCTACATCAAAATGAATCGCACGCCTAGATTAAAACAGTTAAGGTTTTTAGAAAATGGCATAAAAGAAAAAGTTTATCCAGGCTTACTATACGGTTTCAGTTCGAGCAAAGCTCTTATTGATTGGAATATTCATTGGATCATTTTCTTTTATCACGTTTGATACGGGACAGTGCGTATTGGAAAATCTTGATTCGATTCGTAGGCTGGAACATCACTAGAAAAAGTGCACTTTCCTTTCGGCATTTTGAATAAATTAACGACAGTGAAGCTTCCGCGAGATGTTAAATTGATGTATTAATAAATATACAACAATTATAACAAAACAATATATATAGTAGTCTTACACGGAATTAGTGGAGATAAATGGACTGGTTTCATTGCCATAAAAATCTTTGTATTGATAGTAAACAAAACAAAAAAAACATTTATGACTGTCATACTGTATGTCCGGTACATTTAAGTCTACCGGGTGGGACGACGGGACAGTTTGTTGAAATCGAGACTTTCCCAGCTAAACAGGGACGTATGGTGAACCTCGTCGGGGGTAATACATGTTTAACGAAACATTATGCAGAGTACAGATTAAATTATTGCGCAGTCGGCTTAGAGATGTAACCTGGCATAGAAATCGGAAATATATATAAGTTCTGACCATTCCTAATCTTAGAAAATTATTCATTGGAAGTAGCCCAACAGTCTAAATGTCTGAAATTACTGCGATATTTAAAACATAATTGTTGTGATATCTAGCTCAATCCCACGTAACTCGGAATTCTGAACTAGATTAATCTACTTATAACTTTAGGCGGAATAGGTTATTTTTGGTGCGGAGTTACTTCTTTTCGGTAGCTTATCAAACAGTACTGGTAGAGTTTAGTTTCTATGATAGCAATGATAGATTTATTGAAACTTTGGTAAATCCGTTGTTTTGATTACTTCGCATAACACTTTTTAAATGTTAACAGATTTTTTTTTAACAGATTCATTAGGATTATAGTTAATACAAAAGCTGCAGAAAATGAAGATCACGCCTGTTGTGCTTCTTTACTGCTGCATAATAGCAAGTAAGTTGTATGTCATATTATCTATTGAATTTCACTTGGAACAAATCAAACTTTTTTAACGTTAATTGTTGTTTTGTAACCTTTTTTAATGAAATACAATATGAATAAAACATTCTAGAAACTCTACAGTTTGGAAATTTTAACTACAAGGAAGATTTTGATAAAAATCTCGAGAAAGAATATCTTCGAAATTTTCTGAATGATAAAAACGATTTTGACGACGAAGAAGATTTTGAACCAGACCTTGAAACAAATTTTGAAGCCATATTCGAGGATGATTTCGAGCCTGATTATGAAAAAGATCTGACGGTTTGTACAACATAATAAATAGCCACCAAGACAGCACCCCCAATACATGCCTATATTTTTCGAAAATACCACTTTGTGGAATTCGCTGTTTCATAGAAGTGTCCCAAATTTACGCAGAATTTAACGAAATTTTGCGGTTATTTGTCTGTTAGCCTTACTAAGCGTGAAAGCACAGAGTACATTTTTAAAAGGTCAATGGTCACCTTTCTCTCGTGACCAATTTTTATACTTAGCTTTGACTGGGCTTTCATGCCTCTTTGCATGTAAATTTATTTTGCTTTTCGATATTTGAAAAAGCAAGTCTACACCCAAAACTCCACAAAACAAAATAATTGGTAACGACCAAGAAAGCAGAATATAAAATCATTTAGTAAAATGGAGAGTGTGCTTTTGCGACTTTTCTTGTCTTGTTTTCCTTCATTTCAAGCATTGATTTTTGTAATAATATAATAAATAAAAATAATATATATATCTGAATTTAAAGTTGTATTTTTTAATCACATTGGTCACACGTTTTTTTAGGACCCATTCATTCGTTTTTGTAAAACGTTCAAGTTATGCGAGAAAGAGGGGCATGGATTCAAAATTGGATGTGCTGGGTTTGAGATGAATTATGTGAACAGAAGAAATTCATTCCCTAAAGTCTATAGTAAGTTTAAGTGCAAATTTCAATTAAACATTGTCTGCAGATTATTAAAAATTATTAAAATTAGCGAGATCCAATTAGATCATCGACCACATTGATCGATAAAAAGTAAGGAGTGTACTTTAGATATATTGTTGAACAGTACAGTTATATCCAAATGATATATAATCAGGCCTACTGGACGAGGCAAATTGCGAACGGTCAGACGGAACACTATTATAGTAACACAATAATAAACGGCAACAGTTTAGCCCAGCGTTTCCCAACCTTTTTTGGTCGCGGACTATTTTATCAACGGCGAAAACCTTTGCGGACTCAATGTCCGTTTTTTGCAACCGTACCAATAAAATCAAATACAACAGAATTTTAACGAATTTCAAAATCGGAAATTCGCCGCAATTACGCGTTCGTTAAAAGAGCCTTTTCTGTAGCACAATATTCAATCCATGACAACAATGAGAATTTAAAATGCCATTCTATCTTAATTTGATTGTGTTCATAATAACTCGCGGTTGCGTTGACTTGCGAATTTGTTATCGCCGTTAGAAAAATCCTACTATCTGCTATAACTTTCCAGATACGATGTAAATGACGAAAACCAATGAGCCCAAAGCACTGATTTTCTTGATCACAATGATCCAGTTTAAGGGCTTCGATATTACAGTGTTATCTTTTATATTTTCATGGAGTGCGTTCGTAACCTCGAAACAGCGTCGGGGTCGGGGCCGTCGTAACCCGAGGACTTACTTTATTTAAGTGTGATAATTTTAATCTGCGGTTGTGTTGACGTAATAAAAGCAATACTACTCAGAAAATATCATGACAACCCGTGGACACAAAAATGCGTGGTAAAGTGTCTGATTACATTTTGTTTTGATTCGTATTTTTGTGAATTCGACAAATCTGATCCGTTCGTTCAATACCTACGGCGCTCCAGTACCGTACGTACTAATGTGGATGCAGTAAAGCAAAGAATCCTAAGGGGAAAAGCCCTAGTACGTATACCACGGTAGCACCCGAAATTTTGCGATTTGCAATGTCTAAAAAAAGCGTTTTTAATCGGTCGCGGACCATCATAAAACTTATTGTGTTCTTCGTTTTATTTTGAGTATTTTGTATTGCCGCTTTTCAATTTAAAAAATTTGGATTGCCATCATTGACACTTACCATAGAAAAAAATATTCCTCGTTGTCGTACTCGTGAGAAACACCCCTTTTGTATGTATGCCCAGCCCTACTCAGTAACCAGTAATTATTGACTGGATTAGTGTTATGTGAATGAACTTGCTTTTTACGTTTTATGTAAATTCTAACGTAAATCGTAACTTGGCTGATAGTTAAGTATCGCAAAAACGTTTGCGGCGTGCAGTGAATTTCTGGCTCGTTGCGGACTCATTCAAACGCTCCGCGGACTCGGGTTGGGAAACACTGGTTTAGCCCAATGAGCTCGTCAGTATATCCTCTAGTCTAGAGCAGTGCTCTTCAACCGGGTATACGGTATACCCAGTTGTATACCGGACAATAAGTATGGTATACAACTGATAAAGGGTGTACAGCCTAATTCAGGGATTCTAAACTCTCATATTATAAAATATTCAGGCGTAGTAGACAACAGTGCAAACGCGGCGCACATGAAATATAAAATATCATTTACGCAAAGAACCGACGTGAGCACATTGTTACATCACTAATTGTGTAGATAATGCGGTCACGTGTTTGGGTAGGTGATTTCAGCTGCCATGCACTTCGTTTGATTTACGTTGAACATTATTCCTGTTGACGAGGCCGTCAGTCAAATTTATAACTTGCGGACACTAGACTATTAGATTGCAATATGATATTGCAGTACAATATGGGCATAAATTTAATGTATATTTAAGCCTTAAATAAACATTGGTATACAGAGGTTGGTATACATTGTAAGGTATACAGAGGTCTTGAAAATTTGTAAAATGTATACAACGATAAAAAAAAGGTTGAAGAACACCGCTCTAGAGTCTATATGTTTGTACTCATTTAAATCCATAACCGGAAAGAATCCTTTTCTTTCATAAATAGCATCCAGTTATAATCAGTTCCTCCTTGCCTTGCTTGTTTAAATTAAAACAACTATAAATATTCCAGATTGTTGAAAATTGAGTTTTCAACTTTTTCGTCACATTTCGAAATGTTGAACAATATGAATTTAATTCATTCCAAGGCTCCTTTAATCAGCTCACTCGTAAATCCTAATTTTTCGCATTGCTTCGCATTCGTTGTTTATTTTTCTCACTTGTTTTATTCAAAGTGCCAATAACCTTTCTACGTCCTAACGACGATAAAAATCTGAAAATAAAACCAATACGTGAAATTTATAGCTGTTATTTCTAGGTGATTAATTATTGTCGACGCGGTGGTCACTGATGTATACCAGAGGTATAAAATTTACAACTTTTTTGGACAGAGAGAAGAGCTGGAAGATGGTGCGTCAATTGTCAAGAGAGATGCAGAAGACATATAATACGTACTCCTTGAAGCAGATTTGGTGATGATTTACGTCAATGTCAGTAACCGGAAGATAAAATAGAAATAGATTTAAACTATGATGTTTTTTTTTTTATTTTTATTTCCGCCCAAACGCTGATCAATGAAACAGTGTGCTCAAATAAATAAAATGCTTCCCAAATTTAAAAGACAACTAACTCGTGATGTATTAATTCACCAGCAACATGTAACCAAGATTATGCTAATCATGAACAGGGAATCAGACAAGATACCGTGTTTCCCCGAAAATAAGACAGTGTGTTATTTCAATTTTCTTTCGAAAAATACCATTAGGGTTTATTTTCGCATAATCGTATAATTTTATTTATCCAAAACAAAATTAGAAATTACAGAATTGGGGGATTTTCAATTATAAAAAATATTGAAACCGATATCCATTTACTTAAATGACACGTTTTCCTCCCTCACGCGTTTTAGATTAATCATTTATAACGTGTCGTATGGGAAAGATTTCTTGCTATCGACCAGGTAAAAAAAATTGCGTCATTGACTAGGTCAAGGGGGGGGGCTTATATTAAAATTATTCCTAAAATTCAGGCTAGGTCTTATTTTCAGGGTAGGTCTTATTTTGGGGGAAACACGGTATGTTCCAATGCATTATTCAAAGAACTAGAAGGATTTTCATCCGTCTTGCGCGTTCGGAAACTTTAAATAAAAAAGTCAACATTGACTTTTTCACCCCATCCTATTCCCTTTTCCTTATAATTGCGTATATATATCGAGAAGTGGAACTATAATACCTTTCATAAATCAGTAATTAGCCAATTTTTGTTACTGATTATTTGCTCATTTTAAACATCTGAATAACGCGGTCAATTAATCTAAAAAGTCATTGATGTTTATTCAAATGATAATCCTCATTTTAGCAGTAATCTAATAGACCTAAATTAAGGATATTTGGAAGAATCGTTGTAATGGCCCCAAAAGTTATTCCCTCGAATGCGTTCATTTTATGAAACTGTAGAAGAAGTATCAAATGCAATGCTATTCTAATAGTCGGATTATTAACTTTTTACAATCTATGAGTTTTCTACTGAGCTTTCGGCCTTATAAAAAGTTTACGATTTAACATGTTATATATATATGAACAAGAATAAATTTGTGATCATAGTAATATTCGAAATGAATGCACTGAATGGTTATATTTACTGTAGGTGTGTACAGTAAAAAGGTTGAGAACCCCTGCTCTTGAGCAATGATTGGTAAATATTATGAACTAGTGGGCAAAATATACACATTCCAGATAGCCTACGGGGTACTGTAGTTTCCGCCTCCAAACAATCGCCACATTAAGGTTTAAATTATGGCGCAATCGGACTCCTATTACTGTGTTAAACGCCTGTCACAATAAAATGTGTATGCGCACATTTTTATTTGCTATCAAGCCCAGGATATTATTTTCATTTACTTATCATCGATATGAATGATCCTTTTGTTTGGTGGCCAATGCGTTGAAATGAACTGGTAACTTTGTTGATATCTGCAGCACATCGTTCAAATGACGATCTGACAAGCGAGTGGCTCGCTGCGCAGTACCTCTTGCATCCGAGCTTTCATCAAATGTGAGGGGGAAATAAGCACTATCGTTTTTGTTGTAAATTAAGATTTTCAATAAATGGTTTCATTCGTTCGCGGGCCGCATTTGCCTCAAGGGCCGCAGCTTTCCGACCACTGCTCTAGAGTGAGATGCGAACTACAGCGGAAATATTATAGAAAGAATACTGGTAAAAAGTGACTTGAAGATTTTAGATTTTTTGCAACTGATTTGGGGTATTTTGGCACTGCTGAATCCGAAAATAATATTCTTTTCTCTCCATCAGGTAAAGTTCGTGCGTTTCAAAAAATCAGACCGATTAACAAAATTGATTGTTGTTTTTGTATCATTATGACGTAATTTTGTCAGCACACTTACTAAACTAAATCTTCGTTCAACAATATATATTGATTACGAGATGGAAACATCGATTAATAAAAACTGAATGGTGGACAATGATAAACAAAAGTAATGGAAAATGTAAAAAAAAATTAAAATAAGTTTTGTATTTCAAATCGGTGTTATAAATACAAGCCAGATGAACCCGACATCTAATACTCCAGAAAAAGCAACTTACTTCATCTTTCAAACGAGATAAGAGTGGCCGTCTGGAGCGAAGAGCAACGCAAAATAATCAAGATACAAAGGGCGAATGTTTTCGCGAGCTGTTTCGAGCGGCCGCAATCTTTGTTTGTTTATTTTTGTGCGGGTAATGATTACAAGCTTGTTAACGCGTCGAAAACGATTGTAAACTCGCTCAAGTTACTTTCTTTAAGTAATAACAGATTCATTGTATATTTCTTAGCTTTCAAATACTTACAGATATAAAACTCTTAGAATTTAAAATATGCTAAAAAAAAGTGACGAGCAACCGGGGTCACAAACGCTTAGACAGGCATTTATCATGCTTGAAAAGACGCGAAAATGTCTTATTGCTTTTGTTTTGACATACGTCCACGATACGACGTATACATAAAAAATATTAACTCTTACTGACCAATCATATTAGAGCCATATTTATATTACACATAAGTGTCATGCGCTAATTTAAGGTTGAAAGCCTGGCACATGTAAGTGAAGCAGTCACCATAACGTAGGGTTGCCAACTATGACAAGTTTCAATAAAGGACATGGATTACCGTCATCAAATGAAAACAATGAATTAAAAATTATATACAAGCTAAAAAGATTTATTAAAACATCTTCATGTTTTTTCATTTAATGTTTATTTAACATTGACCCAAACAATGTTAAGAAAATTGTTATTTCTTTGGCTATTTGAGCCGGACCAAAGCGATATTAAAAAGAATAATTGAAAGCTTGCAAATACATAAACGAAGGCGATTTTTTAAGAACGGAACAATATCAAACACAGTACTATAACTATCAGGTAAAACAACGTTAGAAAGAATAAAGGACAATTAGCATCTTTTCTAAATGCCAAAAAGGACAAGGACCGAGAAGCTTAAACTAAAGGAATGTCCTTTGAAATAACGCGAACTAGATCATTCAGCTTCTTTTAAAAAAATTGATGTGGAGCATCATCTTCGAAAACCATTTCTCCTTCTTCATATCCTTTGAAACTGTAGATTACACTGAATTAGATCGGCTAATATAACAAAATGCAATCGCACGCCATTCAGGCATTTTCAGGCTGACGTTCTGACAATGTTTCACCGTAAGTTTAGGCATCCTAAACGTTCACAGATTACTAAATTTCATATATCCATGTTTAACTCAGCGCCAGAACCTCTTAAAGTCAGGCAATTGATGGCACAAAATAGCCACAATTGCCGGAAAATGAATTGATCAGAAACCACCTTCTGGTCGCATATCGCACTTTGGATTCAATATACGATGTCACGCACATCTTCGCAATTTAATTCCACGCGGCTCCGCCATAAGAAAAGCATTGTTTAAGCGCCCCAGAATATGATTTTACAGAAGGTCATTCAAGCGTGGAACGTCTGTGGCGACAACAATGAGTTTTCTATCCATTGCTAAGTCATCAATGGTTTGTGACAGCTAAAAAGTCAGCCGCCATGGTTTGACTATAGCAAAGCCCATGGGCCGTAGCGGCCATGGTTGAAAAATCCCCGCCATGGTTTTGCGGCAGCTTCAGACGCCACAAAGTGCTTGAAACTGCACTTGCAGTCTGCGCTGCGCGGTGGAAAACACCGAAAGTTCGCGACAAGGTTTCAATTTCAACAGTAGTACCGGTATGCGTTCAATTTACAAATGTAAACTAATAGGAATCTTAAATTTAATTGAAATCAAGCGAAACAAATGAATTATTGTTAAATGAGCACAGGGATGATCTAATACATGGATCACCAAACTACGGCACGCGGGCCAGATGCTGCCTTTCCTATTCAGTTAAAACAATATCTCGTTTTCGCGATTTTGAATACTATTCGTTATAAGTTATTAGTTTTAAGTCGTGATTGCAAAATTTAAGTAGAAATCAAATAAGTCAATCATCATTTCTTTTCTTATGTGTTGTAGTTTAATTGCAGTAATCAAAAACTGTCTAGAAATAGTCTATCTGTGAAAAAATAGGCTAAAATTCCCTTTCGGTAAGCAACGTTTTCTGCGAAGGATGCACTCGTACACTCATGACGCGTGATTTCGGCGAAACAGTTTCTGTGTACGTTTTTGTGCTGAAATGAACGTCGAACGTGCATTTTGCGCCAATAAGATGAAAATGGCTTTGATATATAGAAAAAGTATAGAGAGTTCCAGAGTAAACAAAACCTTTGAAACGGAATTACAGAATTTATGTGAAGCAATTACGTAGGTTTATGATAAGTTTTATCGTAGATAAATGCTAATAGGTTTTATACATTTGCTAATTTTTTTTTTATTTTGTTATTGTATTGAATCATTATAATTATCAAAAAACGTTATCGTTATGACTAATAGTCACTGCTGAAACAAACTGGAAAAAGTATCGGTAATCCGGACCAAAATTACCCCAGCCCACACTCGCTCATCTCACACTCAGCCTGGCGTCAAAAGGTTTTATTGCTATTTACTATTTTAAACTATTTGACCAAAGTTACCCCAGCCCACACTCGCTTAGCCTGACGTCAACGGGTTAACCAACTATTTTACTGACTTTATAAACGTTATTACATAAAAACTTGGTGACTCTGACAATATAGAGACTATATCTTATATACACAACGCAAATACAATACCGGCGGCCCAGTTAACCCTAGTATGGCATGACAAAAACGAGTGTGGGCTAGCGTCATACGAGTGTGGGCTAGCGTCACACGAATGTGTGCTGGCATCCCACGAGTGTGGGCTAGCGTCACACGAGTGTGGGCTGACGTTCTGACAATGTTTCACCGTAAGTTTAGGCATCCTAAACGTTCACAGATTACTAAATTTCGTATATCCATGTTTAACTCAGCGCCAGAACCTCTTAAAGTCAGGCAATTGATGGCACAAAATAGCCACAATTGCCGGAAAATGAATCAAAATCAGCTGAACCTCATTGGCTGAACAATAATATCTCTATTCACTGTTGCCAGATATATAGGTAAACAAGCATGAATTCACAGGAGGGTTCACAACAAAACAAATTAAATTTAAGCGAAATATCAAACCTATTCATATCCATCAATAAAATTGAGGTATGAACAAATCGAATCTGATTTGCACAAATACATCTTTTAAAATAAAGATTGAACAAGCAAATTGAGTAACATTTACCCAAAGAGATACATTGTCTTGATGACTTTGAAGTCTGATTTCGGCACTTCTAATACTTTGTACATCTTGAAATTGACTTATTACATTATATATTCAATTATCCAACAAATAACGAAAAATTCAAAAATTCTACCGGGGGGAAAGACTTTAAAATAAAACAAGAATCTACCTAGGTGGATAGGTGTAATTTAGTAGTCTGTGAACGTTTAGGATGCCTTCACATACGGTGAAACATTGTCAGAAGTCAGCCCACACTCGTGTGACGCTAGCCCACACTCGTTTTTGGGGTCTCGTGTAGTTTCGTACCTAACGTTCTTCTAGTAGGCGTAGCGTAACAATTTTTTGGCATGCCAATCCTAACCCTCACCTGACTATGACATCCAAAAATTACGTCACTACGACGTCACAATCACGTCATAGAGCTTGCCAAATACTCGTACGATCGCCCGAAATGGCATCGGCGCCGACGATAAAGAACTGACTAACGTCATCGATCTCTCTCTCATCGGGATCGTTGCGACGAGAGAAATGGCTGTTCGATTTCGGGTTCTCGTCGTCTGCGCGTCTTGGATGACAGTTTGCATAGTTTGAAAGGCTCTATCACTGTGACATCGTACTGACGTAATTTTCGGATGGAGTGGTCAGGTGGGGGTTAGGATTGACACGTTGAAAAATTGGGGTCTGGTATAGTTTAGTACCACATGCTGACATGTACTTCTACTTGGCCTGGCTAAACAATTTTTGCATATGTCAATCCTAACCCTCACCTGACTAAGTCACCCAAAAATTACGTCATTTTAACGTCACTGTGGCGTAATAAGGCCCACCAAAGTATGCGAATGATCGTCCAAAACGCGCAGACAATCACCCGAAATCGAACAAGCTATTTCTCTCGTTTTCTCGTCACAACGATCACGATAGGAGAGAGATCGCCGGCCTTAGCGAGTTCGTTATCGGCGGCGCAGATGCCATCTCGGGCGATCATAATTATACTTTGGCAAGCCCTAGCCCTATGACGTGATGGTGGCCTCGTACTGGTGTAATTTTTGGATGGCATAGCCTAGTCAGGTGAGTGTTAGAAATACAGAAATAGCATATGCAAAATTTGTTATGCTACGCCCACTGGAAGTACCTACCTGTGGTACTATACTAGACCCAAAAATTGTTATGCTATGCCTACTAGAAGTACGTTAGGTACGAAACTACATGAGACCCCGTTTTTGTCAGGTCATACTAACCTAGGTAAAGCTAACTGGGCCGTGCTTGTTGTGTATATCAGATATGATCTCTATATTCTGATATTGTCAGAGTAAGTTTTCATGTAATACGTTTATAAAGTCAGTAAAATAGTTGGTTAACCCGTTGACATCAGGCTGAGTGTGGGCTCTGGGGCTGGAATTACTTTGGTCTGCCTGACTGCTGGACTGCAGCAGAATAAGTATGCTGTTCTATTATTCGGATATTATAACTGTACAACTTACCGGTGAAATCTTGGCAAATACTGAAATAATATAAAGACTTTTAATTAGAAAATAATGTGGAATATTATTTTTGTTAAAGAAAAACCATGAATCAGACATATTATTTCTGAAATTCTGGGAATGAAATAGGCAATGTTTGTTGTATTTACAAGAACCTTTCCTTTCGCGCAAACTTTATATGATTACAGGATTATTTTTTTTCTTTTGCACTGAAAATCAATTATTGTGTTTTATTAAATAATTGTATAATTTGTATACTATCGTAATTATTTGTGTCATCCTTGTTATTTCAGTAGACTATTTGCATTTACAGATTTATCTAGTATTGAACGTAACACCATTTTATTATCATTGTGCACTGAAAGATATGACATTTGGCTCAAAAGAAATGCTGTAATTTTTAAAAATGTTAACCCAAGTGTTAGCATCGTAATAATGAAAATTTGGAAAACGTCCTATTTTTTAAATAAAAAACCCGATATAATACTGTAATTTTTACTGTGATCCATAGTACAGTAGTATTGAAACTAATCCAGTAAAAATAAATATATATTAAGAAAATTTTCCTAGTTAATGATTAATGCTAATAAATGAATATTGTACTGGCAATCATTGTGGAAACGCATCATAGATATATCAATGGAATATATAGTATACTCTGCTGTTAATGTATTCATTCCAGTAGGGCGCACCCGGCACAGTTCTCCAATTTTTGCTAAAAACTCATATGCTGAAGTAAACAAAATTTTTCATTCACTATTATACTAAATCACGAATTATTTTATACTGAGTGTGGCAACCGGTACTGGATAATATATTCTGATATCGGTAATTTCTTGATTGACTTGAATTCTCATGATTTTATGACTTGACGCTTCAGACTGAGCGTCAGGAACACTTTCCATCCACCACCGATTACTTTGTATCCAGTTGGACATACCGGTAATCATTTTTAAAAGGATTGCTGGACTTCTTGCTGTACATTTTATTCAGGGTGGTTTACTAACTGCTGGTCGGTACCAGACCGCTTCCTCCACCGTCAAGGCATCTGAAACAAATAAATGATTTTCTACTCCTATACCTGTCGAAACTCAGAAACTTGTTGTACAATTTCAAAAGTATCAGATGATAGCTTGCTGTAGTCGGGCATTAATAAATGGGAAATGTCATAAAAAAACCTAGAATATATTATGTTCGTTTATTAATTTGCAAACCATTACAGAAAAATAAAACTTGATAGCTAGACTTGCTCTATTGGACAGTGAACAACTGGTCAGGAAACTTAAAATTCATGGCAATTAAAAAATTATTTCATGTATGTATGTTTATTTGCCTCAAAAATATAACAGTATCTGTATAATAATTAAAGAGTAAAACAGAGACGGGAATACATGTTCAAGACCTTACTGGCCTAAGGCACAGATGTGCGACATGCACCCCTACTAACAATTATAACAGCAGTTTAGGACTGCTGCATTATAATAAGACAACATGAACTCCTCATAACTTAGATTAAATTGATCCATGACAATAGTCAGGTACTTTAACACCAACTATATTATGCTTGTACATTTTTCAGATTTTAACTATTCTGTATCATGTTGTTTAATAATGGATGATACAGCTTAATGATGATTATCAATTGGATATAAAATTACACTGTCTGAATAGAGTTGTATACAACAGTACCATTGAGCTAAATATTTATCAATATGACAAAAGCAGTCAAAATGCAGTCTCCTCAGAATTCAAAGAATCTGTTAACAGTGCCTGCAAATGTGAATCATAATTCAAGTGAAACAATATCATCATCAGCGAGCTCACCCTCATCAAGAAGTAGTTCTTTCAGCCGTAGATTGACTCTTGATTTGACTCCAACGTCTACAAAGAAAATAGAATCTTTGAATGGATATAGGTTAACCAAGAGAGAAACGTTTCCTTTAATGAAAAGTGGATCTGACAATGGTGAATCTGCAGAGGGACAAATTCTTTCTAGGACTTTATTATCTCCATTTGAAAAACTTGTGCAAGCTTTGAATTATGATCACCGTATCAAATTAGAATTATCGTATGGCAAAAGGATCGGATTTTATTCACTCAAAGGTGATATAGGTACAGGGAATTTTTCAAGAGTTAAGATTGGAACTCATTCTCTAACAAAGGGTGAGTGATGATGATTTTAATTGAAAAATGTTAATTGTTTCATTATTATGGGAAAATTTTCTCATCATATGCAGTAAATTGTGTTCATCTATTACCAAGATGACACGAATTACTTAGAAATGAAATGATTACAACTGGGTTATCTATCTATACCGGGTTTTCGGACTAGGGCCAAAAATTTTGACCATCTAGACTGGCGGGCCATGTAAGTGTGATGTAAAGAGTTACATTTAATGAACAATATTTACAAGGTTACGACATCAAATTGGAAAACAATAAGCCTTATGCCAAAACTAAATTTAATCGCAATCTCAACAAATTCCTTGAGCTATTTTTTAGCTATAACATCAAAATTTGGTTTCAGTTTGGTTGTTGAACTTGGCTGGTTGGCTGAATCAGGCGAGCCAGATTGAATCACCCAACGGGCCGGATTTGGCCTGCGGGCCATGGTTTGCCAATGTCAGATCTATATTCAAGTATTTGTGCCGTTCATACTTTTAATATACTACTTTCTACTGTATGATTTTCAGAACGTGTTGCTGTCAAGATTCTTGATAAAACAAAGATGGACAGAAAAACTAAAAGACTTTTATCAAGAGAAATAAGCAGTATGGAAAAATTACATCATCCTAACATCATTAGACTCTATGAAGTAAGATATTCGATCTGATATCAAAATGTATGAACATAAACAAGCTAGGAACAACTCATTAAAAAGCATGCATCATAACATGTTTTTGAAAAATATATTACAAAGCAAAATAAGAAAATATTGTATAGCTCTATTCTCTAGTATTTGTCCTCGATTGATTATATTTGAAAGTATATCTTTTAAGAATTGATGCGTTTAAAATTATATTTTTTATATAAAATATTTTCATTGGAGGTCACAGTTTGTCTCAAAATTTAACAAAAAAAATTTTTGGATTTGAAAGTCGCTTGTATCGGATAACATTTGGATAATAAAATGTTGAAAATAGCCTGCTTTACCCTAAATTGTATATTTTGACAATGGCTAACCAATGTGAAATTGGAAATTTTACAAAGTATTGAGATGAAATGGGCGTTTGTGAATATAATATAACACAGTATTATTATAAGGCAGCCTTTCAATAGAAAGTTTTTCATGCTTATCTCTGCCCCATTAGTGTCAAATTTGTCATATTTTAAGGCCATTTTCTTTTGTCTTTCTTAAGTACCTACTGAATCAATAGGCGTGAATATTTAGTCTACTCTTGAATGATTATGACTTAAGGCCAACTGTCTCAAGTAGGTATTGTCGCTAAGAAACTCTATTATACATAGACATGTTTCAATTATCTTATTAATTTCTTATTGTTCTTTTTGATAATATTAGGTCTAATATAGGTTGTAGAATTTCTCCTATTATGAGATAATCTGATTTGTATAGATTAATTTATTGTTTTAGAACAATAGTCCTAATAATAGCCCTACTTATGCAAATAATCCATATGGCAGAGAGTCAATATGACTGCTTTTGGCAATTGAGTATGTTCCATATTATAGTGCCAGTGCTCCTTTTATTGTATTCAATCATTGATTATTTTGCAAATAAAATCCTAAATTTGCCCCTGTGATCACAAGCATAAGTTTTTCACATTTACATTATTTTTTCTTTAATATGGATTGAAAGGGAATGAATAGGCCTATCTATTTTCTGCTTTGATTTATTAATAATTATTCTGGTACACACATTGTTTATTTGTTGCAAAATTCATTTATTTAGCATTTGTGTTGAGTTGTGTGTTACTGTATTCAATTTAATATCATTTCACCTAATATCTCAAAATTCCTCTCTTCTTTAGGTTATGCATACCAAAAGCAAATTATTTCTTGTTATGGAATATGCAGGAGGGGGTGAACTATTCAGCAGGTTATCATCTCAAGGAAAAATGGCTGAGAGCGATGCAAAAATCATATTTTCACAAATACTTTCTGCTGTCGAACACATGGTAAATTTTATGTCATTTTTCTCACAAAGTCAGAACCTTGTTTGAATATTACTTCCATAAAAAAGAAAATATTCCTCTTTCTACAACTCTTATTTAACCTTAGTTAGGTACACTTAACATAGTGTAGTGCTGATTGATTTAAGAGTTATAGCGAGGTTGGTGATGCAAACTGTGTTGACTTTGCAATGTTAGCATTGGAAGACAAGTTGTTGTATCGTTTATCGGTTGCCTTGTTTTGAGAACGATGAAATATTTTTAAAAAAAATTATTTTCGATAACATTGATAATGATTGAAATTATATTTTGAGTATATTTTTACTTGCCTGAATGATATTATGATTATATGTTTAAGTTTCGTCATGAATATTTTAAAGCGCATTTTCTTGTTTACAGCATCAACATAACATTATACATCGAGATATGAAAGCTGAAAATGTATTTTTCTCTGAAAAGAGGATTGTCAAGGTAATATTAGGGAATTAATGCTTTCAAAGTTTTTTTCTTATTTTATATTACTTCATATTGATGGCTAAATGCATTTCAACACAAACCATGATATTATTGTGAATTGAGTATGTTGTAGTAATTAGCTTAATTTAGTACCTTTAGCTACAATGTTAGATACGGTAATTGACTCTATAATAAAAAATAAATTAATTGGTTTTGTGAGATGGTTGTCATGCACTTTTTAATTCACAATTTCTAATCTGCGACACTAACATAGTGCAAAGTGCTTCGGCTATGCCAGTGTGACATAAAAGTTTCGAATAATTCCGCTCTATATCATTGCTATGTCATTTTGGTCATGGAGCCAGTACTTCAATGAATAGTCTATTTTAAACCTTGTGTTTTCTTTTCCTGATATTATGTGTTTTGATCTTTTTAATACAAGAATTACATATGTTCATATATCATTGATAGGGTTGTACTCGTCTCATTGTTCGTGTTTTCTTTGACAAACGAACTGAAAGCTTTTATAGCTGAACAGTTGAAAGAAACAGGCGGGTGTAATGGGTTCATTAGCACAAAAGAAAGGCTTCAATGAAACATCAAAATATTATGATCTTATTCATAAACCCATTTTCAGCATTCATACTATTCTATTCTTGTCAGCTTATGTAATTAATAGAATTGAACATTTTTCTTTTTGTTACTCTATCTATATGTTCCTTTTTAATGTAATTGTAAACTGACCCCTCACCTGGTCATTACAGACATACTTTTGACCATATTTCAATTTATCAGAACAAAATTTTCATATCAATGTAATGAAGATATATTTGGTATTTTATTAAACCAAATTAACCATATTCTGATATCGATGGTATGGCCTGCAGTAATAGATTTTGTTATTACGCTTAGTTGGAATTGTAGATGACACATTTTGCTAAATTAATGTCACATTGTTTTCTGGTGATATCAACTAGGAAATTTAACTACCCAAATATAAAACCTAATTTTAAAAACCATGTTCATAAATTATTGAAAAAAGTTGAAACTATTTATGGAATGTCTGAAGTATCTATCTTTCAATCAAATTCAAAACTTCATATCTGACAACTTAATTGACTTTTGTTGACCTTTGTTTTTGCTACATTGTTGCGTTATAACAATGGACAGTAATAACAGAAATTTATAAAACAGTTTTATCAAAACAGCCATCTGACTGCACTCATGGTAATCAGTTTCATTGGAAATTGTCAGTGAATCATAAAAGAAAAGAGGACATATAATAGCCTCTTATTTATTATATAGTTTATGAAATTGAAATTTTTTACAAAAAAAAGTTATCAATCACCTTTTTTTGCAGATATATATGGTTGTCTTTAAAAAATACATATACCGGTATTTGTTTTGGTACAGAAGGGGTTGGGACTATTTCAAACTCTATAAAATTTAGGGCACTCATTATAAAACTGGAAGTTGTTGCGTCAATCCCATATTTAGCCTGTAATAAGCTTCTATGCGGTTTCAATTTTTTATAAATATTTAATGTAGCTTTTTAACATTGTATATCGTATCACATAACATGCATATTATTTTTTTAACTGTATACACCAATTTCAATACATTTTTTCAGGTAGGAGACTTTGGATTTAGTACAAAGGCTCATGGGTCAAAAGACGCTCTTGATACTTTCTGTGGTTCTCCACCATATGCTGCTCCAGAATTATTCCGAGATTCATATTATTATGGAGAATATGTTGATATTTGGGCACTTGGCATTCTGCTTTATTTTGCTGTCACAGGTTTGACAATATATTGAATTCATACATTAAACTGATTAAAGTGTTTACTTAGTAGGTATGTTTCAAAGCTATCCAAATCCTATTAAATTATTTTTTAAATTTATTACTCTGTTACAATTATATGAGATGATATTATACTACAAAACGTTATATATTAAAATATCAAACCATCACTGAGTAATTCCAAGTAAATAATTGATATGGATTTATTTCTTCAGGAACTATGCCATTTCGGGCAGAAACTGTTGGAAAATTGAAAAAGAGAATACTTCTTGGACATTTCACTGTTCCTTCACATGTTTCTTCGGATTGTAAACATTTAATAAGAAATATTTTGAAACCAAGTCCTTCACATCGACTCTCGCTGCAGGAAATTAAACAATCTAGCTGGTTCAATCGAACCTCATTCCCAAATGCAACATCTTTTTTCAAGTAAGCTGACTCTTCTGATTCAATCTTACCCAGCGTTTGGAATTTTGGATTCAAATTTTGAAAATGAAAGTTTCATCTGGCTCAATGTTTAAATGCAGTGCTGGAAATTGTAGCTATGTTAATGAAAAGATTAAAAATAAATAAAATTTAAACTTTTCAAAACCTAGTCTTGCTTTTTTTATAGAGGAAAAATAACTACTAAATCTGCAATAAAATTATCATAATACGATGGTAATTTAGTATTTGAGCTTGAAAAAAGGCAAGTAACAGTAATACATGTATAATCATCATTTTGATTTAAAGCTAATGTATAATATATGATGCTATCCAACCTTTTCCTCATGAATACTTTTAAAACCTCAATGATGATAAGTGTTTCCTTTTGTTACAGTCTCGATCCTACGAAGGTGCAGAGAAAAGAAGCTCAACCCGAAGAAGCTTATGCACTCTTCATGTTGGAAAGATTAGGAGTGAAAGACGATCATATGAAAAGACTATCTGCTGTTGAAGAATCTCAAGATGAACCTTTATTTTCCTGGGAATCTGATTCCGAATCATCACCATCTAACAATGACGATTCCATTGGAACGTCTGTAGATCATAGCAGTGCTATTGTCGGTACTTATCGTATTTTATTAATGCGAGCACATAAAAAGTTAGTTCATCCACCTTCTAAAGAAGACTTACTTAAATTATCAGCCATTACAAATCATGTCACTGGCAGAGAATCGCCTCTTACAAGACATTCCAAATCTTGTGAACATTGTGGCACTAGTGTAGATGATAATGAAATTTCAGTACCATTGGTTAGTGCTAATGGTATATCAGTGCAAGAAAATAACAACATTGAGAAAGGTATAAATAATGATAACGATATTTCATCTAGAAGTACAGGGGTGCACGGTCAAAATACAGGAACAGTTAAGTCAAAGTTCTGTGTAATTTTGTAAAATTGAGATGCTTTTTATTAATCCGAAATATTTGACGTTCCTACTGATCGAAGTAGCAACCTATCAGTTGAATAGAAAAGTGTCTGAAGAGCCTACATTTCTGGTATTGAGTACTGACCTTCTGCTGAATTACAGGATGGAACCAGTTTTTCAATAAAGCGTATTGTCATAAACACCAATTGAAAGTTTCAGTTTCGCTACGAAATGACTTATTTTGTTTCAATCCTGTTCCTGTAACATGACTTTGTGGTAATAGCTCACGGTGACACCTGCTTTCTGTTGGCATCTCCAGCTGCTAAGGACACATTCTTGCTTGGACTGATTTTGCAATTGTAGTGTTGAGCAGATTAACTGGTACATGTCTATTATATCCATATTTCAGTTACTTAAAGTATTTTTGGATCACAAGGCGCACTGGGTTATAAGGCACACTGTTAATAAATTGCCTAAATTGGGGTTTTGTCCATACATAAGGTGCACCGGGCTATAAGACCCAATGGTTTTAAGGAGTATCGGGTCATCGTACAAAACCCATCAAACAAAAAAAAAACTAGGCCTATAAATATTTTTATGGTTGATGTATTTTATTCAAAGAAAATCTGAAACGGCAATTTGTTTATAAAACAATAGTAACGGTACAGGTTTTGATTGTAGGAAGTAAAGTATAAATCATTACCTGCTCCATTCATTAGGCACATGACTAAAAAGGCTCATAATAGATTTTTGAGAAAAAAAAGTGATTTAAAGTGCGCCTTATGATCCGTAAAATACTGTGTGATGAATAATAATTGATGTCTTTGAATTTAGATTCCATTTGAAATTACTAGATTCATTGAAAATTACTGCATAGGTCTTCATAATGTCACTTTATTTAAATCATTAGCGTGAGTTTATATTTCAGCACTTTAATCTAATGCCTCTAATTTTTTATCTTGTTAACACATTTCATATTTGTTTTCCTTACCTCAAAAATATCCGCACAATCACATAAACCGTTAATGTCGTACTCGTCACAGATCTATTTACCTTAATTATCGTAAGACATTTTTTGAAATTTCATATTTTCTGTTTTCACATTACAAATTTTTTTCATATATTGATTTGAAATTTACTATTCTAAGAGTAACTGTAAATATTGTTATAAGAAAATGTCTCGTACACTTGAAATATCTTGTCTTTTGGTCTATGAAATATCGAAATTTTTATTTACATTGAGTGCTGGCGAAATCACAAAATCTCCATCCGACTAAAATCCCACTGTGAATTCCTGGTCTACAAAAGTTTAAACTCCAGCCAAGGATGTCCTAACCAATTCGAATACATTTGTAATTCATATTTGAATTTAGGAGTAATTTAGAATTTTTATTTGAAAATTGGGATTTTTAGCCGTCAGTCAAGCAGATCAAAATGTACGATATCTAACACAACAAACAACAAAAAGGAAACAATGACCTTCATAATTATTTATGTTGTTTTAGATATGATCAACATGAAGATATAGTGATTCACATAATTTATTACATAAACTTGACCCCATTTCGAATGTATTCGGAAATATTTTTTCAGAATGTATACGAAATAGTGGAATATCGCCTTTGGCCATCCCTGACTTCAGCTCCTTAGCGATGACTTTGACTTTTAAAACTTTGTCATTGGCAAACCTGAATTAGTTTTAGTCGAATATTCTCACTCAGTCTAGAATACTAATCCCTGCTTCAGAGAGTTCATTTTGTTTTACTATTTTTAATGAGAAATTTTAAAACCAGTACTAAAAACGTTTTCATACTTATATGATGTTGTTATAATTCAAATTAGTGTTTTCCGACTGTATGAAATACTCACGTCAGAAGTCCATTTCATATTTCAATGCTTTGAAATTCATGTCAAAATTTGTAGTTTTCCTGTAGAATCATTGCATCATATTATTTGAAACTCCCCCATCAGAATTTTTATGTGTTCTACGTTGAAATATATTTAGAATAATTTCTGGTTGCCAGTTTTCTTAGTGAATGTAATTTGTCTGAATGATCTTTACCGTAATTCTGTTTTACAGTTCTGTATATGTTTTATTTAAATATCATGAATTACCAATTGTTCAGTAAAATCATATTTTCACTGTTAAACTATTTTATGGTTGATGTAACATCTCAATTTATTTCAAGCAAAAATTTATTAGTGATATACAATTTTACATTTAGTTTAGATGAAGACATCATGCCTGTACCACCCGCATCATCTTTAGCCTTTGTGATTAATTTGTTAAAATTTGGATTGCCATGCATTGCTAACTTCTTAGTACCCACAGTTCTATTTGGAAATATAAAGAATCATTTTATCCCAATGAGTCACTATTGTCATTGTTGGGCAGTGTTACTAATGTCACATCCACTCACAGTTTCTGCTCATCAAAACTGCTTTTTGACTGTTTATGTTATTAGCATATCGTTTTTTATATTTTTTTTAACACAATGGTGTTGAATGAAACTTTGTCTGTTATTTTTGCCATCAAACAGTATTGTTTTAAATGTATAAAGTTCAATTTATTTTTTCAGTAACACTGTACTATTGAATAACACTCCATTAGTAGCTATATTTTAAGTTGTGAAGTACAATTACATTTTTATTAAATGATTTGTGTAAAACTCCAGTCAATCTGTTATTTTATATGAATTTGAGGTTTTCAGGAATTCTTTGAGTCGAAATTGAATTGTATGGCTTGATCTAGGTATTAGTAAATGCGCCAGCCATGTCTGATTATTGTTCACTGTCATAATGATGAAAATATAGTAAATATCGGTAAAAAAAAGCAACGGCGCTCTACAGTATTTACTGTGTAGAAATGATTGGCCTTTTAGCTAAACGACGATTGGACCGACTTTGAAAATACGATCAACAATTTGATTGAACCGACTTTGAAAACACTAGCCACAATTCCAAAGTATTCTTTAGTCCCAGTATACAACATAAAGCAGTCGATGATATACGTAGGGTGATGCACGTAGCTTCCTCCGCTATCAAGTTCATGCGTATGAAAACAAATAACTGGCTAACTATTAACTGATCACATATCCGACATGGAAAAACCCCGATACCGTGGTTCGCCGTCTTATCCTATTTCCTCTCCCCCAGGATAAAGATGTAAATTATATCCTAACAACGGTGTATTTTTGTATTGAAACAGTACAGAAACTCATATTATGCTCATGTGAATATACAGATGCAAGTGTAGTGTAAGTGAAGCAATATGTACTATTTATAATGAATACACAAGTAATACAAATACGGGATGAATATATAATAACGTAGCTAGCTGGCGTACAACGTCAAAATCGTCCTGCGGAAGAACAAGAGAAACAACGTATACGCATCGAGAAGAGACGTAGGACATATGTGTTATGTTACAACTCCCTTTTTTGTGAGAAAAAAAAGGAAATTCACGTTGTCGATTTCCGACACACCAAATATGGTTACAAGTTATTTTCAACGTATTATTCCTGTGAAAAAAAATCACTGGGTGGGGGCGCTTATACTTTATTGTGAAAAAGTACGATAACTGCGAAGTATTAAGACGCATTGAACAACGAATCACGAAAACTATCACATACTATTCAATCGTGAAATTACAATTGAAATATCTCATATATATATATGAAAATATCAATAAAACAAAAGTTAATAATTCCAAATTCTCATAACGAATTACTTGGAATATTGGGTATACCACGATAAACCAAAGTATATGCGAATATATTGGAATAAACTCGAATACTACCATGGAATTTCCTCCTATTTGCATAAACAGTTTCTGATTTTCGGAAATTATAATTTAGTAAGGACAATTTCATAATCAGGCAACTTTGGTAGTTTCACAACTAGGTACAAAAGGGGTATGAAGCGTAAGAAATAATTTAATTGAAGATCATTTAAAATGGCTGTTTTATTATACTGCTTTTCCATCGATTTATCAAATTTTTCAGATGCGTCCGCACCAATAAATTAAGTAACCTTTTCTAGACATAATATCTTTTATCAGTTTTATGGGAAAAAAATTCGTGGGAATCGTTGGTTATCGGGGCTGTTTAATTTTTGTGGTCAAAAGGAGTATCCTTTGGTACAATTCCATAAACCAATGTATTAGTCCAATCGTGTATGGCTGTACTATAATATAAGCATAAGATGCCAAGGTAAAATCCAATTTTTAGAAACAATTTCATGTGACAATTTCTGTAATAAATTTTACTGTTCGTTCATTGCCCATTGATTTTTTCATACCATATCCTGAAAAACTTGAACCTTTATCGGAATGTAATTTTTTCGGTGGCATGTGATTACAAATGTACTCGGATACAAGTACGGGTGCTATTGTACTAGCCTCTCGATCTAGTATTGCTACACATCATAAATATTTGTTAAATTGTCAATCATAGATAAAATATACTTGTTATTGGAAAAGGAGTTACGAAATTATTTACAATACATCATCACGATTTCCAATAATATGGAATTACATTGCTCGTAAAAAAAAATTCCCGACACAACAAAAATCTGAAAACCTCCTCTCTCTCAAAACAATTTTTTTTACAGCAAGAGTGACCATCAGTTTTACCAACAAAAATGAAGTCATTTGTGCAAATCCTTAAAAACCACACTGGGACCGCTTCTGGGTTCGTAAAACAAGAAATAAAAAGGAGCCAAAGCCTATTTTCGAAATGACCAAAAATACGGGTCGTTCCTACACTTGGCATTTCAGAAAACATAGAATCAAAATATTCGTTCGTATATTTGAGTAATTCTACCAACGTTTCAAACATCCCGGGCTGTTGTTGGGCACGTTATAGGACAGCTTCTTAGTTAAATCCATATGAAAGTTACCAGATAAATAAGACGAATAATTCTAATAATACATTCGATTCGGAATATTCCCATAAAACAGATCCAGTGATTTTTTATAGGAATGAACAGGCAAAGACATTGAAGTCTGGAAAAAGTTGCAACATGTGTGGTATCATTACTCATGACTTGGTGACATTGTTAAAAAAAAACAGAAGCTGTAACAAAAGTTTTAGACATACTTGACACAAAATATCCCCCCTCTGATGTCGCGCCGGCGTACCTACTGAAGTTGACGGGTCAGACTTTTCTCACAAACTCAGTATTCTACGCTTAATTTTCGTACTGTATCGATGCGGTGTGACAGTTACAGAAGTACTCGAAAAGCTGGAATATAGGTTTTTGTAGTAGATGGAAAAATGTTCTCAAGATTCAGAACTCAGATTGTTGGGTATTTCCATACACTATGGCAGATACAATTTGCCGTTTTTCAAGTCAAAATTTATTCAACTTGATCGGACTACCAAAGTTCTGAAGGTTGTGCAACGCGATTTGATATTATAAAATGTCAAACTCTTCCGAAATCGTCTCGTCTAAGGAATGTAAGAGATGTAATTTGAATTTCTTCTCTCCTTCGATCGTATGCTGGGGACAGATTGCTTTAACGGATACAATTCGGAATTTTCCGTTGCTGTCCTCGATTTGCGCCGGCAATTCTGGAGCAAGAAGATGTGGTGGTGGTGATCTTAAACGGACGGACGTTTGGCCAGCTTGCTTTGTTACTTCTTCGGTAATGCTAGATTGTGAGCAACACCTACTTCTGCAACAGTGTGGGCCACGGATAACTCCAATGACGCACACCAAAACTGTAAAAATAGTCATTACATTGTTGATCACGGCTAGAATAATAATTGCATCGATAGAAATGATACACTCGTCGCCCGCCATCAAACTCATCTCTTCGGAGAATGATCAGAAATTATCTCTCAAGAGATAACAAAAATCGTTTGTTGTTCAGTGAGTAGAATTGAAGGTTGACTGGCTGAGTAGCGTCCTCCAAAATGTCCTCAAAGCACACAACGTCATGTATTATGCAGATTATAAAATACTCGTCATCCACGTTCTTGAAACGTTGCCACCAATTTGTAGCCAAGCTGGGATTTAATGCAGTAATGCGGCAGCTCTCGACAGTAATCTGATGCGGAGAGAAGACCGTCCTTCTTAACTTTGCTGACCTTGAAATACTAGTAACAATTTTAAGCTATCTATTGTCTCAGTATACAACATAAAGTAGTCAGTTGAATATAAGCACAGAAGCTCGTATATTGAAATGAATATAAAGTCAGATCCAAGTGTAGCGTAATTGAAGAAATATAGGCGACACACGCAATAGAGTTACGAGACAAATACATGATAAAACGTAATTGACCTAAAAGCGTCCACAGAAGAACGAGAGAACCAACGTATACGTTTTATCAGGAGTGTTTATAATACACACGAGTGATATTGTTACATATCTAAACTTGAATTTCAACTATTTAAGGCATGTAGTGAGATTCATAGGGATAAAAGTACAAACATAGGCGTAAATTAGTAAAAACAAAATTGATTATAACTTCGGTAAAAACGACGTGGACTCGAAATCGAATGTTGTTGGACATTTTAGTGGACATAACGATCGTTTCAATATTTTGTTGTTGTTCTTGTTTTTTTTCGTCATCATTATAAAGTCGCTTTTCTCTTCGAATACTGGACCAATTGCTCTGAAATTTTCAGTATATTCTTCGCTTTTCAATATATTCTTCGCTAGGAGGCTATATCTTTTATTTATCGTTTTTTTTTGTGTGCTATGACGCCATCGAAATTTGCCACTATGTGGCGCAATGTGTTCATATATTTGAGCATAGCTCTCTTTTATTATATCCTATATTTTTTTTTGCAAATTTGGTTGGTATGCCCTTCTCCCTTCTGATATTTATAATAACGAGAAATATATAGCAGTGAAAAATGGAAAAATCCTGATACACAATAGAAAATGGCATCTATTCATATAACCATAGATCATTTATCTTCAACCTGACAACTGTGTTATTGGACACGTTAGTGGACATAACGATCGTTTTGGTATTTTTGTTGTTCTTGTTCTTATTTGTCTTCTTCTTGGTATCGTTATGAAAAAATCGCTTTTCTCGTTGATTACTGAACCAATTGCTTTGAAATTTTCAGTGAGTAAAGATTATATTTTTCCCCAGAAGGCTATTACTTTTATTTATTCTTAAATTTTATATGAATCCTATGAGATATGATATTTCATACAAATTTCGCGGTATTTATTTTTACTCATGGGAACACTGTTTTACACTTATTTCAAGCGGTTTCGCGATCGATTGTCTTGCTCAGTACTACAGCTACTGTAGGTCGGTACTGGTAAGTTGCCATACCGGTACCGTAACGCAGTGAAATTGACTTATTCCTTCCGCGGTATTACTGATGCTGCAATGCAAGTTTTATAGCCTATCGTATGCGGAACGGAATATCAGACCTACAGGTTCGGTACCGGTACTGGTAGCTCAGTACGTAAGTACGATACTGGTGCCGGTAGCGGTGTCTTACCACAATGAAATTACCGTAACTTATTCTTTCACGGTCCTACCAGTGCAGTAATGCAAGCGTTGTAGCACTTGTAGCCTACTATATTTGTTTATTTTGATGAGAGTCTACTGGAAACAACATAAAATTTGAAAGGGAAGAATTGTTCTGTGATCAATTATCTGTCCTAAAGTGTAAACAACATAAAATTTGCAAGGGAACAACTGT